GAGGGAAGGGGAAGGGGGGTGGAAAGGAAGAACGGATTGGGGAAAAGATTGGAGATGTTCCGAACTAGCGGGAAATCTTTGCTGGTCACATGCGGGCACGGTGTCCAGCTTCGACAGCCAAATCATCGCCCAGACCCATCCACTGCCGGAGCTGCCGAGGCATTGATTGGTGGGACAATGCTGATTGACGCCGCGACGCCGTCATCGTGACCCGCCCCCATTCTCCCTCCAATTCCCTTCCCGGATTCTGTTTGTCGCAAAAGAGGCAGAGCTCATGACGCACTGCTGCTATTACTGCTTTCTGGTCAGAGGGGAAAAGAAAAAAAGGGAATAGGTGGACAGACTGGAAGGTTAGCCGGTTATTGAGAGCTGATCATTCACACTGGCACGGGTACGCTTTCAAGTACGGAACACGGAGTACCCTATCCTTCATTCCTCCTCCCTCTCTCGACACAGTTGCTATACGTAGTACTAAAGTGGACCAGTGGCCCGGCATTCGAATTGTTCTTAAAACATTTTTCTGTATCATTCATACTCTTCCTCCTCTTCGTCCTGTCTCCCTTCTTCCTTTTCTCCTCCTCTTCCCATCCCTCTCACCCAACCCCTCCCATCTCCCCTTCCTCTCCTCCCAGATTCTCCCGTACCCTCCACATACACAATTGACTCTCAACTTTCGCCCCTTAACCCTCTTCCTTCACGAACCTTTCCCTCGAAATCTAGGTAAGTTATCGTCGATTCAATTGCTTGGTTGGAGGATCTCTGCCAGCATGGTCCTTTTTTTTTTCTCTCCCCGGAGTCTGACCGACAAACAGCCATTGGATAATATAGCATCTATCTATATATATCTTATCTTTCACGACAGCCATCCGCCCAACATCCTTCCAACCAGCTGTCTAAATCCAGCATTGTCCTCGATAATAGAGTGCCAACGAGGACCTCTATAAATTTCCACATACCATGGCTTCTCGTCATTCGCGTAAATTCCTGCGACCGCTGCTCTATACGTCACTCGCCACGGCTGCGGGTGCTGGAGTGCTCTACATCTCTTACCGCCCTCGCAATATCCCCGGTTCCGAGGCCCCTGCTGTCCCGCCCCCTGGCTATCACGAAGGCCGCCTGGTGCCGCCTAGTTTTCCCCGCATTAAATCCAGATTGGAGCAGATTGAGGATCTCAAGCGTTCCGCAAAAGGAGGTGCATCGGAGGAATATGATCTGCTGGTCATTGGCGGTGGTGCCACTGGCTCAGGAATCGCTCTCGATGCTGCGACTCGAGGATTGAAGGTCGCCATTGTCGAACGTGATGATTTCAGTTCTGGAACCAGCAGCAAGAGCACGAAACTTGTACACGGTGGTGTGCGATACCTGGAAAAGGCAGTATGGGAGTTGGATTATAACCAGTCAGCTGACTCAAAATACTTCCCTGCTTCCGATGAGAGATCTGACAGTTCCCTATTTTAGGTACGCGCTCGTTAAGGAAGCCTTGCGGGAACGGAAGTACTTCCTGAACACTGCCCCTCATCTTTCCAGCTGGCTCCCGATCATGGTTCCGGTGCAGAAGTGGTGGCAGGCACCCTATTTCTGGGCAGGCACTAAATTCTACGACTTTTTGGCTGGCTCAGAAGGTATCGAGAGCTCCTACTTCCTGACCAAGAGTAAGGCCATCGATGCTTTCCCGATGCTCAGAAAGGATAATCTGATTGGCGCTATGGTGTACTACGGTATGTATCTCCCATCACGAGGCTGGCAACCTCCCCGCACCTTAGTATAAGCTCTAATGACTGGGTAGATGGTGCTCACAATGACTCGAGAATGAACGTTTCCCTTGCAATGACAGCTGCACTGTACGGCGCCACTGTCGTCAATCACATGCAGGTTACCGGCTTGACCAAGGACTCATCTGGCAAGTTGATTGGTGCCCGCCTCAAGGACGTAATCCAGGGCAGAAACGGCCAGGAGGAGGAAGAGTTCACCATCAAAGCGAAGGGTATCATCAACGCGACCGGACCCTTTACTGACTCAATCAGAAAGATGGACGAGCCTGACGTGAAGGAAATTGTGGCGCCGAGCTCGGGCGTCCACGTCATTCTACCTGGTTACTATAGCCCGTCAGACATGGGTCTTATTGATCCATCGACATCCGACGGCCGAGTCATCTTCTTCCTGCCCTGGCAGGGAAACACAATCGCTGGCACCACGGATCAACCCACTGAAATCACTACCCAGCCAGAGCCCTCCGAGAAAGACATCAACTGGATCCTCACGGAAGTTCGTCGGTACCTGGCCCCTGACATCAACGTTGAGCGAAGTGATGTGCTTGCCGCTTGGTCCGGTATTCGTCCTCTAGTACGCGATCCTAAGGTCAAGAGTTCCGAGGCATTGGTTCGTAACCATCTCATCTCAGTCTCCCCATCTGGGTTGTTGACTTGCGCCGGTGGCAAATGGACTACCTATCGGCAAATGGCCGAAGAGGCAGTTGATGAGGCCGTCAATGTCTTCGGTTTGAAGCCCCGTGAAGTATCCAACGCTCCCGACATTAGCGGCGTCGGAGGAAGCGGGCTAGTTGCTGACGGCGCTGTTCTTGATGGCTCTTGCCAGACCCATCAGGTCCGTTTGATTGGTGCCCATGGCTACTCAAAGACGCTTTTCATCAACCTCATCCAACATTATGGGCTCGAGACGGATGTGGCGCAGCACCTGACACAATCATATGGTGATCGAGCTTGGCAGGTTGCGGCTTTGTCTTCGCCGACTAATGCTCGTTTCCCCGTCCGAGGCCAGCGCATCTCGACCCTCTATCCTTTCATCGATGGCGAGGTTCGTTATGCTGTTCGCCACGAGTACGCACAAACTGCTGTCGATGTTCTCGCACGCCGAACTCGCCTAGCGTTCCTCAATGCTGAGGCAGCACTTGAAGCCCTGCCTAGTGTCATTGATCTTATGGGAGAAGAGTTGAACTGGGACAGCGGCCGGAAGGACGTTGAGTGGAAGGAGAGTGTCCGGTTCTTGTCCTCGATGGGCCTCCCCAAGAACTTCCTCAGTTTAAGTAGAGCGGACGTCGAAGCCGGCAAGGTCAAGCAGGTTGATATCGCGCAACGAGCGGCTTTTGCTAGGACAGGTAAGTGACCGAAAACGCTGGTAATGGCGAGACTAGAGCTAATGTGTTCTCTCTGAGCAGATCCACCAGCGGATGTGCTTGCCAACGATACCCGTTCATCCGACTCCAACAAACTGATCCAACCTGATTCTCCGGCCAACAAATAGAGCAGTTACGCGCCATAGAGCTATTTTGTATAAATAATTGGAACTGTATAATTGGCACGTATGTCATCTGGATATCCGACAATGTCGTCTCGATTGTCCCTTCTGAAAACAATTGACAAGGCCTGGGCTTGTGTGTTGTTGAGACTTACCAGCATATGGAGGCGGGCTTCCCTTATGGTGTAGAGGGCATGTAGGCGTTGAACCTTCAAAGAAAGGAATGTGTAACGAAGATTTCTCTTGCTCATGACGAAGATACAAATGCAATTCTCACGACGAGTTGAAAGGAAGCAAAGAAGGCAATCAACTTCAGGACAGGTCAATCGTAGCCTATATGTATGTGGTACACTGGCATCATATCGCTTACACCTACAACCCACTAGCGTCTACTTACCCTTTGATGAACTTGCCCACTGCTTGAAGGCTGGAAAAATCGGGCTGCCTTGTAGAAATGGTTTTTGAGGGCACCACGTGCTCTTCTGAAAGCCAACCGAATGGCGCAGCCTGGCCTCTGTTGCTATCATTCATGTTAACCGTAAGCCGTCCAAGCAGGGAGACATTCGTACCATGTTTACAACTTGTAGCCTCCAAAATGACACCTTGGGTCCAAAGCGATTTTGGTCTCGCTTGGGATGAAACATAAGGGACATCTGTTCATCAACTCGTATTAAATCCGCGATTTGTGCATATGACTTTCCCATACGAAACAGTGATTTGGAAAATGATACGATCAGGCCTATGGTATAACAGACTTCTCAGATAGCCAGTCCCTCGTGTCCTCTGCCTGTGATCGAGAATATATTAGAATATGTAGAACATAACTCTGAATCATATGACACCGAGTAAGCGGTATAATAAAGTACAGAAAGAGCTGTACCAGCCAAAATTAGAATAATACATCGACTGTCCCGAGACGATCGGGGAAGGAAAAAGGGAGGAGGAGGAAGAGAACATGATTATTATGTCAAGATAGGCGGATAAAAAATGTAAAATTAGATGTCATGTTTCAAGATGTGCGCAGCACACCATAAAGAAAAAAGAGAACCCCGCAACTCGCGGGGCCGCAAGACAAGGGAAAAGTAAGACCCGAAGATGTCTAATCGATGATCGAGAACACGGAGCGATGGATTTCGAGTGCCCGGAGGTGACAAAGAGCACATATCCGAGCACCCGAAACAAGCCTCCGCGACCAAGGTCCATGCATGCAGGTAGAGACGGAGGCGCTCGGTTTGGGTTCATAAAGGCAGACCGGCTATACCCGAGGACCGGCTTGCTCGCACGCACGTCGGTTCGAGAATCCGCGCAATAATGCGAGTGAAAATCGGGTAACGCGAACTCGGCGTCCGCCGGGGTGGGCTCGAAAGGTCACCATCCGTCCCCTCACTTCGTTTGTCATATTCGCTCAGAGGGTCAAGGGACAACGACACCGGAGGAAGGGCCCGGTAGCCAAGTTTTTGGCTTGTTTCCCATCGACTTCTTCTTCTTCAAATTCCCTTCCCTGATCACGGGCGTCTCATTGCGGGAGGGTCGTGGGTGAAGTAACAGCCCTCGAAAGACCCATTCAGATGTTCGAGACCTGAGCTTGTTCGAGGTCCTCTTGTCCAGAAGCGTCCGATACTGAATGTATGCATCATGCCGCCCCAAATTGGGCGGGGAAATTCGATTGCGATGTATCCTTAGTAAGAATACGGTTGCAGCCGGTAAGAGACCAAAGTCAAAAGAGAACACAATGAGCAACACACTTATGTCTTGCTCTCTGCCGCGTTTGGGTCGCCCTTATAATGATCCCAGAACCGTGCGACGGTCCGTTGTGCGACGGTGTTGCCCTTGTACCGGTATATGAAGTAGTTGAATAGGGCAAACTCGTCGCGGTCGAGTACATAATCCTTCTGTGCGTTGATCTTGCCCCATAAGCTTTCAATGGCTGCTTCCAGGGTATCATTCGTTGCCTTATCGGTATGACCGTCCCGTCCACGCTCCAAAGCCTGCCGCACCTCAGAAGACGACGCTGAGACCGCCATTGGTAACTGAGGAGAGAAATACACCTCTTTTCAAGACAATTGTTCGGCTCGCAAACGCTGGGAGAAGGGAGAAAAAAGATAGCGAATGTGGATGTGAGTGGTGCTGGATCGGAGCATGAGCGGCGCGCAAATTGAATTTGGAGGAAGACAGGGAATAGAAATAAGTTCTAGGGCCCTTGAACGACAGAGAAGGGAAAATTTTTTTTCTGGACGGACACGACTGTCTTTGGCAAGCTCCGACCCTCTCAATTTAACAAAGCAGGTGGAGCAGGGGGATGTGGGAGGGGGGAGGGGGGGGGTGGAGGGGGTAGAGAGGAGAAGGGGGGAAATTGGATTGTCCAAATGGTGGGCAATCGTGGATCGAATCTCTTACAAGGCCATAATGGTGGTGGTGGTGGTGGTAAGTAGTTTAGCAGTACTCGACAGTCTGAATGTAGTAGCCGTATAGTAGGGTAGGTACCTGGTTAATCGAAAAATATTAATCAGGATGGTAAAAATTACATTTTGATTAGCCCAAAGACTAGTATTTCTTCCATAGGTATCAATCGACTGGTTTTGGACTGGAAAACTACACACATACACACAGGTACACACAGGTACACACAGGCTTAATCCGATAAAGAAACGGGCATGCATAGGCATAAATACCTACTCCTAATAATAGGATCCATCGGCAAGAGGAACGAACCATGTATTGAGTACGGATAAGCTGGGCGTACTTCCTTGTACAGTACTTAGTACTTAGTTGGCAACCGTCCAGTGGCCCTCATTTCTCTTGCCTCAGGGTTGGTTTACCCTCTTTCTTTTTATGATGTACTCGGGTATGTATGAGGGCAAGCATTGTTCATGATCCTTTGTCTGCACCTAGCCTAGACTGCATATCGGCTGTATGATGATGATGGGGTTAGAGCATTCGGAGATTACAGATGGAGAACCTGTGGGTTTCTCTCCCTCCCTGGTCTTTCTTTTGATTAGAGTTCCTTGACCGTTGCAAAAGAGGCGTTGGACCATAATATGCTTTACTTTACTGCTAGCCGTTGCCGATATTAACTAACTTCGTACTGGATGGATGCACTGCATCACAGGCATTTATTCTGCCTTACCATTCTGCTGTCCGTCACCTTACCCTTTCGGGCCCTGAATCAGGTTCTCTAAAAATATTACATCGCCCATGTTAACACTGAAAGGGTGGAAAGAAAAGCTAATTCGTGTCTTGTCTTGTCTTATCTTTCTTTCTTCCTGTTTTCTTTCTTTCTTTCTTCCCTTTTTTCTCTCTTTTTGTTGTTCTTTTATTTTTTTCCCCTTTGGTTGTCTGGCCATGTGGCAGGTGGGGTTTCGTACGGGCTCACCCGCTGTAGCAGCATCGAGACCTAACCCTTGGCGTAACGGTTTTCTTCCTTTGGGTTTATTCTCGAGTTGGGAAAAGCGTCCGGTCAGATGTGGAACTCGACGGTACAGTGGATAGGGTTGCGAACTTTGTGAACCTGGCCGAAACAAGCCGCGTAGATGGAGGGTCGTGGTCGGGTTAGTTGGTTCATACTTTGTAGTGGTTACGTATTTACAGTCTTACGAGTCACGAGTCATCTTACCACCACCACCACCACCACCACCACCGATCGGTGGACGTCCGGTAACTACGGGTAATCCGCCTAGGCACAGCCGGCGCTTGCACGAATTGAGTAACTCCAGGTGGTTCCGCCCACAGTTGATAACCTGGTTCGTTCCCTACAAACTTCTTACTGATTTCTCTGGCCGGTGGATTCGGCCGGAAAAAAGTGACCTGATCAGGGCAATCGATGAAAGAAACTAAATCCAAAGAAGAAACCAGAAAAGATTACCTAGTACTTCCAATGTCTGAAGCACCAGGGATGGACCCAGAAAAACTTTATCGGAGAACGAACTACGTAATGTTGTCAACACGGAGGGTTGAACACCCTGATGATAAACCGGGAGACGGTCCCTTCTCACCCTTATTGGCATACTCTCCATCATGGTGAAATGCCACAATACATCACTTAAGTATGGAATTTGGATCCTGAAACCGTCCCTCTAAGAGCTTTTCACAAAGCGAGTTGAGTTTCTGATATGCGCTCGGGATAATTCGAGGAACAGTCCAGTGGAGGGAGACTGCTCCCGGGCGGCTCGGAGCTTCTGGGGTCGATGTGTATTGAGTGCTCCGTACGGAGTACTAGTCTAGTGAGTAGTTTTCGCCTTCTGAATCAGGACTGTACGTATAGTGTAAATTACAACTCGCCCGCAGACCCGCCCGGTCCGGTGCATGAAAATAAGTGGGGATCAGGCAGTTTGCTGTGAGGCGATTTGGTCGGTGGCAGGCTGGACGGGTGTTCTGGTGAGAATAACTCGCATTGCCATCACATCCATGCTGCAATGGCGACCAATAACCCTTACATTGCTGGCAAGCAACGCTGTAGTGAGCGCATCGATAATGCTGCCGGTGGTTCAGCATCAACAGCCGCAGCAGCAGCAGCAGCACCTTTAACTACTACCTAGTAGGTCTCATTCTTTGAAAAAGTAGCCGCTTTCCAACCAAGGGAACTGGGCAGGACTGACTTTCTTTCCCCTATTCATGTTTGTTTCATGCCGCTCAAATGGAAAAGGTACTAGGTAGGCAGCGACGGTCAGTTGTGGGCGGGCAAAGTTTAATCTGCGCCGACAGACAACAAACAAACCAACCTGCAAGTACTCGTGGAAGTACTCGGCAGCAACCTAGTACTAAACGAAGTACGTAGTCTAGACGTATGTATGTATGTACTGTACAACATAATAGTATGATCATAGTGGCCACTTTGACCAGGGGTCTTCTTGCATTCCAACTTCCAAGCGACCCTCGTACCGGCCGGGTACGCGCTTCAAAACCCTGGCAGTTTGCTGTCGGCATGGGTCATGGCTAACGGCAAATGGCTACTGGCTCTCCTCTCTTCAACGGCCTTGCACTAGTTAGGTCGGGAAAAGGGTGCACGACGTGATATCGATGCTGGCTAAACGAAACAAGTAAGGTAGACATTCTACTAGGTACAGTACTAGGTAGTGACAGCCCCGAGTCCTACTTGACGTGCTTCTTACCTCCGCTCTAGGTCGCTGATTGATTAATTGACCCATGTCTTCTGCAGCTGAGGCCGTTTGCCCTGCTGTGAACCGTATCACTTAATTCCAACTTCCCTGTATGTATGTAAGTACTCCGTCCTTCCTGGCAGTTTGTCCAGCCTTCTCTTTTCTTGCCAAGAGGTAGATTGGAACATGTCGCTGTATGATCGGACCCCCCCCCCCCAAGACTCGACTGATTGGCCACCAAGCTACAATAACAGCAGTTTGGTGGTTAATCGACATACAACTGCACTTGCGTAAGGAGCGAATTTTGAAGTCAAGGTTGGGTAGTCAGCCTGCATCCCCACAACACAGTCACGATGCTACTGTCTCTTGACGCAAGCTTCCAGCCTGTACTCAGCCAGTATCATAATCACGCCCCGAAGACTGTATGACAGATATCGTGGTCGTGTTGGCTCCGATAGGTCCCACGAAAGTCTTACGACGAAGTCTAAATAAACGCTCTGCCATTGGCCGGTAACTTCAAGACATGCGAGGTTGATTCAGGGGATGGCCAGACCCCATTCAAAACTCGGCCTTGATTAGACAGGACAGTGCATCAAGCACTTAAACTCCGCCGTACGATCGAAGGGGCCAACCCGATCACAGAAAGTCCGCCGACTTTCCTTCCTAAGCTGTTATCTAGGACAAGTGAGGTAAATTATAACCGTACAGATGGTCAAGCTGGTGAATTTTTAAATGAAAAATCGCATATACGCACCGGAACCATATGCTTCATTTCCTTGTGACGCATTCAGGCCTTTGTCCAACATGCTCGAGTAACCGAGTAGTTGTAGTTCGTTAAGTAGTTTACTCATTGTAAGTGGTCATCTACTTGAGTATTACTGAGTAAGTAGATAAAAAAAAAGATGACTAATCACATGTTTTGTCTCTTCATTAGTTCGGAGTCGGTGATTGTCCCCGGAATTCTTTTGCCCCGCTATTCCCTCGCAGCAGCAACAGCTTCAGTTTGCTTCTTATTTCAAAAATCCGGTGGCCTGTCTGGCATAATGGTTTACTATTTCACATCGAATGTGGTTCAACCCGCAGCCTTTATCTATGTCGGAAAGGATAAATTCGAAAGTATGATGGGCTTTTCTATATCCATGAGATTGTGCCGAGACTCTAATAATTGACTTGGAACAGATGAGGACCTCATTAAATTTGGGTTAGAGAGTGATGTCTGGTAATCTGACCTTGTGCTGTGAATATCCGAGAATGTGCATCAAGTGAGCTAATATCTTTTTGCGTCTCGGCTAGGGTTTGTCTCTCTTCGTCGCGCAGCAACCTAGCTTCCGAAGACACCCTAACTCAATCATTAGTTCCATGTGGATAACCTGTCTAGTGCCCATGTGTACCTTCGCCTTCGTGATGGAGAAACATGGGATCAAATTCCTCAGGCGCTTCTCGAAGATTGTGCCCAGCTCACGAAGGCGAATTCAATCGAAGGTCAGAAATATTTCGTCAGGAACGGGTACCGGCGAGAACCAACAAGCAAGTCAGCGGTGGAGACTAAAAAAGCTTACAGGGAACAAGAAGGACAATATCACAGTGATCTATACACCGTGGTCAAATTTAATGAAGGATGGATCCATGGCAGCTGGCCAAGTCTCTTTCCACAACCATAAACTGGTGCGCAAGGTGTTTGTCCGACAGCGAGAAAACCCTATCGTCAACCGCCTGAACAAGACACGCATTGAAAAGTTCCCTGATCTCAAAGCCGAAAAAGACGAGTTCTTGAAAAAGAAGAACAAGGAGGAACGCAAATTGAGAGAGGAGCAACGCATAAAGGAGAAACTGGAAAGGAGGGAACGCGACCAGTTGAAATGGCAAAAGGAACATGCTTACGATGACCTCATGAGCGAGGAGAACATTCAAGGCAGCAGCAACTATGACCGGGACGCTGACTTTTATGACGACTTCATGTGAAGGAGAAGGCATACAGTGAATTGCCATGTTGTCTCTCTAATGGCCGTCGTCGGCTTGCCGCATGCTATACTATCGACGAAACAACATAACTTGGTACTTATCACAAAGCATCCAATCGAAGTGCATCAACGGAAGGTGAATACTGGGCCTTGTTCCGTGGTCGCGAAATCCCCATCAAATGGCTAGGAAGCGCATAGCCCAGAACACGCATATCAACTCGTGTCTCAACTCGACCTGATCAGTGCCGGGGAACTGGTGTTGAGAGTGGCTGGGAGCCGGCCACTGGCATACTGCCTGTCGCTATCCCACAACAGCGTGGCAGATTGAACTTCACCTAAAGGGACATCATAGCATGCTTATAAGCTGTACATTGCATGTGAACTTAGTAGAATAAACTAGGCAGAATATGGAATCGAATCTGAATGCACAGGTGATGCAGCATACAAAGAGAGCGAAACTCCGTTTTAGCTCCTTCGTAGTGCCGGCTCATACTGTTGGGTGTGGTAATTCGGCGTAACTAAGCGAGAGCTGCGGACTGCGGAAGCAACCTCCCTGCGCTAGCGATGTTGACAGCTATGGTCGGACCCTCACCATAGTACGTACTCCTGTACAACAAGTTCAGTGACCATAACACCAGCTTTGATTTAACCGCGCCTCAGTCACGTCTTGCTACTCAACAAAGTGAAGATGCCTGAAGGTTCGTCTTCAATTGTGCATATTCACAACTTCTTCTAGCTTATCCCGTCGTTTCCGCTGATACTCCCCCATAGGCGCAAAGTCAAAGAACAAGAAGAAAGCCAAGGGTGCCACCGGCCCCAAGGGAATTGAGGGCAAGGCTCTAAACAAAATCCAAGGCAATGGTCAGGACCGAGCCCCGGAGGACACCGAGGCAGCCGCGCAACCAAGCGTAAGGGCACCCCCGTTTACCCCTCACCCCCGAATGCCCACCTGAGCTGATTATGTGACGAAACAGGAGAGCGACAACGATAAGAATGATTCTACCGAGGCCCTAGTTGCCAAAGAGAGCGCAGATAGAGATGAACCAACCGGAGATTCACCGACTGAGACGACTGACGATCGGACAATTACTTCGACTAGCCATCCGACTAACCCCACAGGCCATGGGAGCGATCCCACCAGCTCCGAGGCTCTCCAGTCCAACGACCGGTTTGATGCCCTAGTTCGAGATCGGGATACTTTACGCGCGGAAGTGGCAGACATGCGCAAGTCATTGGAGGAAATCCAGTCGAAACACCACGCGGAGATGGAAGCTCTGCAGGGGAGGATAGATGACGCCGAAAACAAGAAAGAACATGCAGAGTTGCAATTCCAGAAGCTCCTGGAAAGAGTGAACACAATCAAGTCTCAACTTGGCGAGAGATTGAGGGAAGATGCTGTATGTCTTCGGCACTTGCATTCCAGTGCTATTCCCAAGCATACTAACTCATAATAGGAAGAGCTTGCACAGGCTAGATCGAAGATTGATGAATTGGAGGAGGAAAACACAAGCATCAAGAATCGATTCCAAGCGAAGTGTGGCGAGCTCGAGCGGTTGTCGGAAGACAGTAGGAACATGTCACAGGAGCTTTCGACCTTGCGAGACCGTACAAATCTGTCCCAGCAAAATTGGTTGAAAGAGAAGGAAGAGCTCCTGGAACAAGAGAACTATCTTCAGTCAGAGTTCGAGCAAGCCAAGGAGGCCATGCACAACTGGGAAGTCCTCGCTATGGAGGAGCGGTCCATTCGGGAAACCCTCGAAGTGAAGGTGGTAGATCTCGAGGAACAGCTTGCAAGCGTCAAAGATGCCTACGAGAAAGCATCTACTGAACGTGACTCTCAGGTGGCTGCAGTAGACGGACTACAGCGAGCTCTGCAGGAAATCCAAACTAGTGAGAATAGCCCCTATCTCCGACATACTTCTTCTCCTGAATTGAAACTAATGATTTGTAGCGCGCAAACAGGAACTTCGTGAGCTCGTGGAGAATTCCGACGCGCAGCTCGAGGAGTTGAAGCAGAGTCTTCAAGAAGCAATGAAGAAAGCCCTCGACGCCGAAAAATCTCTTCAAGACGCTCAGGGCGAGCTCGAAAGAGTTCGGCCATTCGAGAAAGAAGTCAAAGAGAAGAACCTCTTGATAGGGAAGCTCAGGCATGAAGCGGTGACACTCAACGACCATCTGACGAAAGCTCTGCGCTTCCTCAAGAAAGGGAAGCCGGAAGACAACGTCGACAGGTGTGTTTTTTTTGCGCTACGACTATGGTCCTTGGCTGGCCTTGTAAGGCATTGACTGGTAATCTACTAACTCTTGTTTCTAGACATATCGTAACAAATCACCTCCTGCATTTTCTTGCTCTTGATCGGTCGGATCCCAAGAAGTTCCAGATCTTGCAACTCATTGCCGCGCTCCTTGGCTGGACAGATGGTTGGTCAACCATTCTTCTTGTATGATCTTACCATACTCGTGGCCACTAACGATCTGAACAGAGCAGCGTGAGCAGGCTGGTCTGGCGCGTCCAGGAACATCGAGCATTTCTGGAAAATTGAGAGTTCCAAGCACACCCATGCATCGTACGCCAAGCAGCCAAACCTTGGCTTCGGAATTCCTTGACAATGGGAACGCGAGTAAAGAATCATTGGCGGAGTTGTGGTCCAACTTCCTGGAGCAGGAGTCACAGAATGCGGAAATGACACATCCAAAGCCGTGAGGCTAGTTCCGCTTTCATCGAGACCGATAGTCTGTGGCCTTTCGGATTGAATTACTACTTGTGTGAATAACATTTGCGCCTCTATCGCATTCCGCCTCTTGCTGTAATTGTATGCGTGATAGAATGAGATAAGCTATGCTATATAGGCTGTCCGTTTGCGACAGACAGCACATGCCCCGTCGGTTCACCGCCTCATATTCTGCCGCATCTATTTTGTTGAAGTGTCAATTCAACGCTGATCAGTGTCTCGCATACCATGAATTGCTTAGCGACACCGCGAGTACAACTTTGCTCAAAGTACAATCATTTCTCACGGAGATATCCCTATTGCATTCCAAGAATGGCTTCTAGCGCTGGTCAGCTTCTCCCTTTTCACAAGGCAGTGGTATCTTTATTGACCGTGCGCGCGCAGTGCAAAAGTTCCGCCCCGTTGTGGTCTCCGGACCGTCAGGAACCGGAAAGTCGACTCTCCTGAAGAGGCTCTTTGCCGACTATCCGAACACCTTCGGCTTCTCAATCTCGCGTAAGTCCTTCTTCTATCCCCTCCTCCCCGCTCTTACCCAGCCGCTGTGAGATTGTGGCCGGACATTCCCCCGCATCCCCGCACACACATCAGTCTCCGAACCACAAAGGCATAGATTGCTGAAGGAATGCCTTCTTAGATACCACGCGAAGCCCTCGTGCGGGTGAGCAAGACGGCCGCGAGTACTATTTCACGACAAAGGAAGACTTTCTCGACTTGGTCAGCAAGCACGGCTTCATTGAACATGCGCAATTTGGAGGCAATCACTATGGTACTAGTGTCCAAGCTGTGAAGAACATCGCCGAGCAGGGTAGAATCTGCATTCTTGATATCGAGATGGAAGTATGTCGCTGCTGCTTCTGTTCATCTGATTGTGTTGACTTCAGAGAGTGCCTCGCTAACAGCTCGTTTTTCCTTTTCACTCCAGGGTGTGAAGCAGGTAAAGCGCACGGATCTCAATGCGCGCTTCTTGTTCCTGGCCCCTCCCTCGGTGGAAGAGTTGGAGAGGAGACTGCGTGGACGAAACACCGAGACAGAAGAAAGCCTGAAAAAACGTCTTGCGCAGGCTAAAAATGAGCTCGAATACGCCAAGGAGCCGGGCGCTCATGATAAAATCGTCGTCAATGATGACCTTGAGAAAGCTTATGCTGAGTTGAGGGATTTCATTGTCGACGGCGATAACTTTGGCGCTCAGCAATAGTGTGAGACCATCATTTACGCTGTATCTTATAGACGCACATAACGACTTCAACACTTGTCTGCTCATCGTCATTCATTTAGCTCAGAACCACCGGAATGGTTACACTGCCTTCCGACTTTCTGCATGAAGCGATCTACAATTATACTTCTCACTGGAGCCAAGATAAATAAATACATGAAACGACGATACGATTGATGCCTAGCGCTTCGTTGCTAGCTTTTATTTGATCTGCGACGAAAAGTCCATAGGAAATCACGAGGGCGTTAAAGTTACTCCCTCACAAATAATATTGTTCAAGTGACGACGGGTACGATCAAGGAATTATCAAGTTAAACAGGATATCTGTAGAAGCATGCCGAGATGAAGTTGTTGCTATGAGATTAAAACATTAAGGAAAGAAAAGGAAGAAAGTTACCCTGATTGGGCTCACTGCCCATGTTTGATCCACAGAAAGAAGCAAGGCCAAGCGAAATGCTTAGGTATCAATAGCCATTCATGGTCATGCGTTGCGAGTTACGGCTAAGCTCCCTGTCCGCTGAGGGGCTAATGGGCCGGCTGCTACCAGGATGGCCGCCAGCAGCACTGCTCTCCTTGAGTGCCAGAAGTTGCTTCGCACGGAATGTTTCGTAGTGAATCTGGCTCGTCGTCTCGATAAGGTCCTGAAGATGGGTGCGGGTAAGGAAGTTTCGGAGATAGACGAATTCGCAGTGATTCTCATCCTCCACGTTGATGACACCCCAGCGGTTTTGGCGGCCGCGAACTTGCTGGCCATTGACGACGATCGTTCTTTCACTACCAACTACAGCGAATGGAATGATGTCCTACATTGTCATTAGAACTGGAGGCACCATGGGACCTGAGGCGGTTACTGACCTTGATTTGAGCATTGACTGCACGCTCTTCGTCATCAAGCTCATCGTTGTCGTAGGGGTACATTTTCAGATTGTGGAAGGCGAACTCCTCCTTGATTCTTTCCTTGAACGCCTGGCGTTCCTCGAGAGTAAGCGAGTCGGCTTTAGCGATGACGGGAACCACGTTGACCACGTCAGAGAGCTTCTTCAAGACGACAATGTCGATGGGTTTGAGACTAGTTGGTACTTCATCAGTTTCTGTAAAATCAAGTTTAAGGTCACTATACTCACGCATGGCCAGATGGCTGGATGAAGAACAAGCAACAGTGGATGCGGGTGTCTTGGATATAGCGGTCACGCTGAGCAGTAAGCTCCTTTCGGAGATATGCGGAGTGTTGATCCTTGATGTACTTCACAATAGGATCCCAGCTAATCACAACGTTTGTCAGTTCGACTTTCGTGACTGATTTTGCTCGGTTGCTTTACCATCTGTCATTGTTGACCTGATCGCCGTAGCCCGGGGTGTCGACGATGTTTAGCCTAAGACGCACGCCATTCTCCTCAATGACTTGGGAAACCGATTATTAGTCTTATGGTCGGGCTTATCAGCGAAGAGTGAGGAACATACTGTGCGAGACAGTTTGGATTTCGGTGGTTGAACGAACGGGTTCGTTAGGGGCCAGGCGGCCTTTGGAGTCGATCAGGTGAGAAGCGAAGATAGTGTTGATCAAAGTCGACTTTCCCAGGCCGGTTTGTCCTATTCATATATATCAATGCCAGCCGTACACGAAGAATTGAGACTGTGCTCAGACGTGCTGCAACTCACCGACACACATCACATTGAACTGAAATCCACGCTTCAACAGCTTTCGCTCAATCTGAGAGGTGATACTGTCGAAACCGACATGACTACGAGGAAAGACCGATACAGGGGTGGAATTCGCCGCGGCAGCCATGGTGCTGGAAGAGAGAGAAGATGAAGGAGGGGATGTGGAGAATGGGCTGATAGTGGTCGTAGATAGTAGATTGGTATCTAGATAGTAGGAGTAGCAACCTCCAACAAAGTGTCGGTGGGGGGGGAAGCGAGAAGCAGTGGGCGAGGCCAAGGTGAAAACGAGAGACGAACAGCAGTCCTTCAACGAAAGGCCGAGGCAGGAGAAGTGAGTTCGAGGAAGGAACGAGACTGATGAAGCAAACAAGCGAGAGAGAGAGAGGGAAAGACGGACTGATGGATGCATTCCCCTTAAGTCGTTCCCTTTGGATTGCCGTTGTTGTCGCGACTCAGGGGGACCGCTAGTCTAGATTCAGATTAGCGGCTCTCCAGACCCCAATCGGGCCATCCGCCGCCAATTTGAAGCTTCAATTGAAGATTTATTTGTTTCCGCATTGAATCCGCTTGCCTATCAGTCCTGACGCTGCCCCCGTCCTGTGTGCTCCTTCACACCCCCTCATCCAAATCGTTCTCAGCGTCCCAATGTCCCTGCGACTGTTTTCCTCCCGTCTATCCGCCCAGGGGTTGTCCCCGGCCGGTTCACTTTCGCCGGCTCTCGCCAATGCCGCAGTCGATCGCTGGTCCCAATTCACACTCAATGCCTCCGCCGTGTCGCAGTCGCTCTTGAGACCGGCAGCAGTCACGCTCAACATCCCTGGAATCTTGTCTGATATCTGGGAATCCGTTCTCCGCGCCGTCCCGAAGAAGAAGACCTCCCATATGAAGAAACGTCATAGGCAGATGGCCGGCAAGGCATTGAAAGATGTCAAGAGTCTTAGCACCTGTTCAGGGTGTGGTCAAATCAAGCGCTCACATGTGCTGTGCCCGAATTGTGTTGCCAGTAAGTGTGACTACTTGAAAAGTGACTCGGGAGCCCATCTCATCAGTTAATTTCATTGTCAGGTATCAAGAAGCAATGGGGCCGCAAAAATACCGAATGAAGCGAACAGACGAGGTGGCTCGAAGTGATGATAGATGCTTGAATTATGTTTGGCTGGGATTGTATAATTATCGGGTCCATATGATGTGTAGGATAAAATGCTGTATGGCATTCGGCGTTTGGTCCAACTAATGGGTTCATGTTTTCTTCCACTTTTGTTCATTTTATATTTTTATCCTTCTCATTTTACTGTGTACCTTAAGAACCGTATCGTTCTTATGTCCTTCAATTCGATAGAGCCATTTGCAACCGCGAATTGGTGGTGGTAAAAAGAACTTGATGTTCCGTGCATGTACCCGCGTTTCATGATCTCATCCAGCCGCGTGCGCGATTGTCCCGCCATGGTTGTGATTTAGCCTTACGTCTTTGACAACACTCAGCTCCTGCAGCTAGCGACCAAGTTATCTCGACCCGCTCGTATCATTCTGTGTCTGTCAAGAATCAATGTCTTAAGCCGACTTGGAGCTGTCATGGTAATGTATACCAGAGACTGTCGTTTGTTCGCCGCTATTTATTCTAACTCCAAACCTGGCGGTTCTAGTCGAAGCAATATCTTTCCTGCGGTTCCGCAGGCAATGGTTCGTATGACCAAGTAGAACCTACCGTTTACTCTCAGGACCATGCTAAATATCATGCGTAGCACACCCTACTGACATCTACGGGCTCGCCGTGACCGATAAGTTCTGCTTGTCGGCATCTGGATCCTCTTCTCTGAAAGTCCATACGACGGTTGACCCTGACTTCCCACTGGTCCAATCCCTTGATGGCGCCCATAAACTTGGCTGTCATCATGTAGTGACCAACGCGAAAGGATCACGGGCAGCTAGCATTGGGTTTGGAGGTGAGATCGCGATTTGGTCTTGCCACGACGGCGTATGGGCGAAGGATAGCACCGCTCCAGGTAGGTATTTCTTATTGTCGGTCTGGGCCAGGCAATTCAAAGAGCTATACTGATCTGGTCGCAGCCAACCAGACTGGGTCTGCCGGCATCTGGGCAATCGCCTTGTCCGAGGATGGGCAATACCTTGCTGGTGTCAGCCAAGATGGGCACGTCAAGGTCTGGGACCTGAATGCCAGTGGTGAAGAGATTCGAGACTACGAAACCAAAGGCAGCTTCGGTACCTGCATAGATCTGGTAAAATCCGGGAGTCATCCATTCCTTGGTCAATTGAAGCTCACACGAGGCTGTAGTCCGCGGATGGTCGATTCCTTGCTAGTGGCCATGAAAATGGCAGTATCTACATCTTCAGCACTGAAACGGGCCGCATGCCATTCAGTTTATCAGGTAAAGGATCGATTCGCCACTATCTCTGCAAGCCGCAAGTGCTCTGACTATTTATCTCGTTTGCGACCGATAGGCCTTGTGAAACCCGTTAGAGCGGTTGCTTTCTCACCAGGAGGGAAGTTCCTTGCTGCTGCCGGAGATTCAAAGGTGATTGTACTATATGACACATCATCTGGTGAACAAGTAGCCAATCTATCGGGTCATACAGCATGGATTATGTCTCTTTCCTGGAGCAATACGGGAGAATACCTTCTCAGCGGGTAAGTACACCTGCGGTACACGCGCGCCTTCTGATAGTGGTCCTGACAATTAATAGCTCTTTTGATGGCAAAGTCAAGGTTTGGTCAATCGATGCTAGAGCGTGTGTAGCCACTCATTCTGAGACTGAGAAATCCATCTGGAGTGTGAGATGGCTGCCGAAGGTCGGGCGTTCGGAAGGATTTGCCACGGCCGGGGCGAGTCGAAGCATATCATTCTACCGCGAAGCTACAGGTGGTTGATCTCGACTCGCGTGTATGCATCCAGAATTGATAGAGGCTGATTGAAGAGTTCAAGCCAAGGGCGAAAGGTTATTTCCTTTCGGCCGCAGAAGACCCCCTCCCCCAATCTCTTGCCTATGTTCAAGTGTGATGTGGCTACGCTGGGATTTCTTACGCATATGGCTTGTATGCCTGCAAAGTTATTCAGGTGATATTTATAAGCATGTATCATCAAGCATTTCTGTCCGTCCAACGTAACTCGCTATTTCATTGTTTCGACAAACAACTTCCGCATCCTCTTGAGAAACCCACCAAAATCGCGATCTTCATTTACAATATCAAGTTCGCGCTCCAGCGCCTCCCGATCAACCTTGGGTCGCGTGTGGAAGACATCATAATCGCGACTGGCTGTTCCAAGCTCGAACCAAGCCTCGGCCTCCCAGTCTTTCTCTAGTAAATGTGTGTAAACAAACTTCAACCTATCTTCCCGGCCGGCCCCCTCGATTCGTAAACACAGATAATCTTGCCAAAAGTCTAGCTCCGGAACATTAAGCCGGGCCTGCTCATCAAGGTATTTGGCGTGCAATTTCTGCGCTTCTAATCTCTGATTGATCGTTTTCTGGGTCTCGTCGATTTGCTGCTTCAAGCGATCACGCTTAGCGAGCCGAGAGTCGCGCTCCAAGGTGACGGATGAGATGGCCGCATGCATCTCAGCGGCCTCCGCGGCTTCCTTTTGCAAAGTCTGCTGATGGGTTTGTGCTTTTAAATCGAGAATCTCGATATCCCTGTGTCTCATGCGCTCATCCTCTGGAAGGCGCGGTGTTAGCGGAAGGCAAATCACGACCTAACGCGTCCGACTGCGTGCTTGCTTACCCTGAAGCTCTGCCAACCCGCTTTTGAAATGATTCCTCTCTTCTAGAACTTGTTTCCGGCCTCTCTCAATAAAGGCATCAAAACGAGCTGTAAATTGAGCCATGCGATTGCGTAGGTCCTCAAAGCCAAAATTGATGCTGGGTAAGGAGTCGGCCATCGACGGCGCATCAGCCGACGCGAGAGGCGGGCGCATGCCACTCGTCGAAAGTGAGGGATCGAATGCGGTATTCATTCCGAATCTAGATATTAGTGAGCTAGAGGCGAGTCGATTGTTGATTGCGACGCGAGAGTGGAAAAGCTGGTTGTTTTCTTTGCGACTTCCATGGACGGACGCTAGTAAATGACAGTAAATCGTACTTGTTGCGGCGCAACCCCCGGGCCAAAAGCTTGGCATCGATGGATCTAGTATATTTTTTTTCGCAATCCGGTCCTGGTCTGTCTAGACCGAATTATCTCATGCAGCTACAAGACAAAGACACTTTATTGTAACGTTCGCATGGGTCCCGACTTGCCGGCTGCTCAGAGCCGCTTCATTTCAATGCCCTGCCCGAGACTTTGTCTTTCATCCCAATCTTATTAACACATTGGGTTCGGTGCTCGATATGCTCACGACTACACAGCCTCAGCTAGAGCATATTGCCCGGAGCAAGAACAGACCCAATGGATGAACAACCTCTAGGTGCTCTACAGTATGGGCACTTGGGACGACCGACGTATGATCCAGAAACTCAGACTTGGCTGTTTCCACGAACATTGGCCTCAAGTTAGTTGCCCGAGCCAAGAAATGCCTTCTCAGGCAAGACTGACCTCCGTTCGAAGATCTTCCCATCAGTTTTGCCGGTGTCAACAAACACACCGTCAGATCGCCTTTGACTGCACCTCAATCATCGTTGATCGAGAACAAAGGCCTCCTACCTCAAGTTTATCCCGAGCTTGCGGCCTGTTGGCCTCTTGCGTCAGACGAAAATACCTCGCATATCATCACGACAGCCAGCGAAATATGCGATCCCTCGGTTTCGTCCCTTCTGGATTTCGGTTACGCGGTAGACTTGGAGAATGGCGAGTCGGGGGCCCGCGGGGTGCCAATCGCGGTCGTTGCATCGGGAGAGTGCGGAAATGTTGTATCCTTTCGCAAACTCGAAGAAGATGCGATCGAGTTGAGACAAGAAAAAACAGCCAAGGCGCGTGTCACATCTATCGGAGACGTTGAAAAAGTCGACTGGTTCGTGGGAGGTGCAGCCGTTCGCCAGATCTGTTTCGCTCGAACGGTGGAAGAGCAAGCGACATGGATGGCAGTTCGTTCGCCTCAATTCACGGCTATCTTCAGACCGCAGTACCACAGGAATCTTGTTCCTACACCAGTTGCTCGACTACGTGACTATACATTGTCGAATGAGTGTCGCATGTCTCGCCTTGATGCCAACCCGGTGGTCGAAATCTCGATCTCACAAACTGGAGGGTTTGCACATGCAGACGTGACCTTCAATCCTTGGTATCAGAAACAACTTGGTATTGTTGATGTGCGAGGAAGATGGAGTGTATGGGACGTTTCTGGTCGGTACAATAAGAATAAGAGTAGTTGGATGACTGCATGCGTTAAAACCGGTTCGTTGCCATGGCTCGATATCGATGATTGTCAGGACGATGACCGCCCTCGTCATGACGGATGGGCGGCCATTGAATGGGTGGGAGATGTTAACAGCTTTATTGTTTGTGACCGGCGCTGCCCAATGTTATATCGGACGCGAGACGGCCAGGTATACCCATACTCCATTGAGCTCGGCTTAAAGAGGAAGTCCGAATGGATATTAGACGTCAAACGAAGCACCAGCAATGTATCACATGTTTTCATCTTGACAACATCCCGGATTTTTTGGCTGGCTCTTGCGCCCGAATCTGGTCCAGACACTAGCGATTCACGACCTGCAGTATGTCCGCAAATGTCATGGCGTCATTTTCGGGACCCTGAAGACACGACAATGCGGCTTGATTCTTTTCTTATACATGAAGGTAGAGCTCTCCAGCATGGCAGTCCATATGTAAGCTCAACAAAATGCTAACAGCTATCATCAGAATTTTATCTCATCCTCTACTCAAAACTGAACCCCTTTACACTCGTCTTCCCGTGTGCTTCTATACGTGATACCGAAGCAGAGACATTGACTTTACACGATCCATCGATTTTAGACATCCCACCGTCTGATATTCCTTCAGAATACCAGCTATCACCAAACAGTACCCAGTTTTCAACGCTTGTTATGAGAGAAACCGGTCACCTCTCATTGCCAGTCCGCAACAAATCTCACGATTGCAGAGCCAGCATTCTGAAGCTTTTTGCATTAGACTCGCATCTCTCTGTACATGAATTAGTCTATGTCGGACTTTCCCGCAACAGTGCCGCAGACGGGGACTCGCTACCCATAGATGTCTTGAAGGCCAAAAAGCGGGCTCCAGGAATGTTACGAACTCGGTCAACTACCTTCCAAGATGACTTCGTTACGCACGATTGGGACGAGTCAGCTTCGCGAAGTGGCGTCTTGACCTTGGATGCTGCAATGTCCAGTATCACACCACTTGCGTTTCCGCAGTGGACGCTTGATTATACTCAGATCTACGCCGTGGTAACTGGCAGGCTGGCACTAGCATCGAGCAAGAAGGGCGCTGATAAACGTATCGGCGATAGCCTCAGTAATATGGTTCAACAGCTGGAGGGGCTGCTTGCAGATGCCGAGGCTAGTGACAGGTTCAAAAACCAGACAGGGTGAGTCTGCTTCGAGAGATTTGGTCTCATAAAGTCCGCCTATGCACGAAACTAATCCTATGCAAGGCTTGAGCTCCTTGGTAGCGGCCTATTTTTGGATGATATTGATCAAGATGCGCAAGAATGGACCTCTTTCTGGTCACGCATTTCCCACAGCCGCCCAGGTCCTCTCAACCACGTCTATACCACGATTCAAGCCTCCAGTATCTTCAGTACGGTTATTTCTCAGTCCTTTGCAACGACCGATATTATCCAACCACTTAGCCCCATAGCACTATACGATGAATTGATCAACGAATGGCTTGGTTATCTACCTCACGTTATACCCGGGCGCACAAGGATCATGAAAGAACAAATTATCCGAGGCGTGGTAGCCGATCTGATTCTAGCACAATTCAGCATCCGAGGTGGGATAGGGCATGGTTCCAGGGATTCTGGACAAGCAGATACTGTAGTCCCATCTTCGTCCGCGGCAATACCGATTGACAATGAGGAAGGCCTATCCTCTGCTTTGTCTGGGGAGGACAACAAGGGTGCACCCAGAAGCAGCGGGTCAAGCAGGAAAAGTCGAGAGCCAGACGTGACTGAGCCTGAAACGCCAGCGAGTATAAGGCCACTGTACTCTAGTCTATCAGCTTTTACCAGCTTCAAGGGCGATCAGGTAATGAACTCCGGCACAGCAAGCATGCTACAACACTGGAGACCTGGAGTCAACCCCGCCGACTATAGCTGGCAAAGGAATGTAGCAGGAACACAAGGCATGACGGCAACTACTCCCAAGCGGCGGCATTCACGGAGAGGGACGGCATCGTTGCATGGAAGTCAACAAGCTGGCTTAACTCATCTTCCCACTCCTATCGTCACAGCTGACGCTGCTCGGGCTTGGGGAAGCCAGCCAGAACACCTCGAGCCGCCCAGCTTCCGGTTGCACAGCAGTCAGATGGCGGACCAGGATGTCTCGATGACACAAATCGAGCGCGGCATGTTTGGTGGTCGCGAGGCCGGGCGCAAAACCGTGGCGAAGGCGAAGAAGAAGAAGCGGGCGGCGGGCTTCTAGGGACTGATGAAGCTGTCATCTGCGAATTTGTCATCTCATGTAACTTAGTTAATTTTGATTCAGGCACGGTATGTGCCAGGATTATTAAGCCCACCGAGCAAAGGATGAGTGATAATTGCGTTTTTCTCTCCTTGTACTCATAATGTTCAGCCCCACCAGTAGGTAGCCAGACAGACCGAGAGGATACAAATAAGGGTTGCTCGCCGGGTCGAGTCGTTCATCTACGGAATACGTATTCATCTCCCTGCATCTCCCTGTCTAATTACTTTTAACAAAGAAGACAGAAAAAAAATTCGGGGGTCAGAACAACTCTTCCCTCCCTTTCCCTTTCCCACCATTTCCTACCCGGAAGACTGTCAACTTGGAGCAAGTTTCAGGTACAATCACTACTATCCCTTAGCTAGCAATTATTTGGCTTTCCGCCCCACCAGGCGTTTAAGCCCCTCCTTTCCCCCTTGCATCTCGAACCTTTAGCCCCGCCATCATTCTTTATCATTATTGACAGACAGTCCGTCGCGAAATCCAGCTTTCCTTTCCCCCCCCCTTCGAAACTAATTCAGACATACAGATCCTCGACCAGCAGAGAACCTCCCCTGATTTCTTCTGTAGACCGAAGAATTGAAAAGAGAAACCCAAACTAGAAATTCCGACCGCCACTGCACTCTTTTCCTTCTTGCCATTCGCGATAGGCGGCTCCCCCCCCCCTTCCTCCACCCGTCAACATGTCCGACCACCAGTACAAATTCGACGTCACCATGAGCTGCGGTGGTTGCTCCGGAGCCGTGGAACGAGTTCTTAAGAAGCTTGAGGGTATGTCTACCTAGTCTAGCCACCAAAAATACCGTTTCCAACTATGTTTTTTGTTTTTTTCTTTCCCCCGCAAAATCCTGCCCGAAACAATGGGCTGCAGTTCGTTAATTGAGAAGGAATCTTTAGGGGTCAAGTCCTTCGATGTGAGCCTGGAATCGCAAACCGCAACGGTTGTGACCGACTCCTCCGTGTCATATGAGACTGTGTTGGCGACGATCAAGAAGACTGGAAAGACAGTTACCGGGGGGAATGCGGATGGGCAGCCCCAGGGTGTTTGAACGTGAAGAGGACAATGGGCGTTTGATAATTTGGGTGCGATTATCAAGGATGCACCTATTGGGGGGCTGTACCGAGTGATTTTCATATTTATCCTTTCTCCTGATATATATGTGCTTTCCATCCTGCGTGTGTAAATTCCTTTCGTAAAAATCTGGAACAAGCACATATATCGTCTTCTACACTGATAGCATAAAGGAGAGTAGTATATTTCTTGGCGCATAGCTTCAATTTGTTACAGGATTGGGTATCATGTACGCTCCACTTGTAAGGTATGTATGTACTGTACATCACCATAGACATTTACACGGCGACCGGAATGTACAAAGTTGACACCGACCCCTCACATGGGTAACAATATCAATCCACGATAACAATGGTTCTGCCCTCTGGAACCGGAGGACGAGACCGTTCAGACTCTCTTACATAGGCAGGACACCGTGGTTCTTTGGTTCGTAAGCCGTAGCGTGGAGGCTCGAGGAGTTCCCTGCTACAAGTGTTACAGTTAGCTTCTGACGACCGGCAAGCTGTTATGAAACCAGGCGATTCATGTCCACTATCCATACCGTGAAAGTACCGTTGCCTCTCCGTAATACCTGTCAGTGTAACGGTTTGCAGCTTTTGAAGCATCATGCATCTGATGATAGCGCTGACTCCCGTCATCCACTACGCCATACCTCTGGATAGCGGATCTTGACCATGGATCCGCATGGGTGCGGTCCGGAAGGGGTCTTAGTTCCGGTCCAGCCTGCTGATTAACTTGTTGACTACCGTAGACAAGACCAACCCTATCCGATCCAGGACGGGTATAGTTTGTCTGAAGACGACGCTCCAACGGATAATCCAATGGCTCAGAGTTACTCGGGTCAATGGCACGAACAAAGTCATCGGCATAATGACCTTTTCTCTGAGGTGGCTCTTGGGGAGCAAAAGCATATCCCTGGTCTTTGCCACTCCATGTAGTTGGCTGTATCGTTTCCGCCTCGGGCAGCCTTAAGCGGTCATCATCGTGCTTGGGCACCTGCGGGTCATAATCATTTCTCACCATGCCGATGGCTTGAGCGGGCATCAGCCCTTCCTTGCTTTTATCCTCGACAAAGGCATACCGTAAGGTGGGCACAACACGGGACTCAGCCGGAGGCCTGTACTGAGTGGGTTTCTCACGGTCAGGTATATCAAATGTGGCATTGTCATGCTTGTGAGACATTTGACGTGAGAAACCCTCATTCCTGAGCCTAACACGGGTGGTATAGGATGGATATGAGTATTCCTCGGGCTGACGATCAGTAGCATGGGCATATCCAAACGGGTCTGCATGATTCCTACGGACAGAAGGGTTTTCTTGAATCGGAAGTCGTCCCGGAGGGACATATGCAGGTGAAGCCATCTGTTCCCCTGTACGAGCACTTCTCACAGTAGCAGAAGGAAGACTAGGGCGGATAGTTTCTGTTTGTATCGGCCGATAGAATGCGGTTCGTCGGCGCTTTGCTGTCTGGTATTGTAGAGTCTCATCGATATCTCGACGGAGAAAGTCCTGGGGAGATAGATGAGCGGGGGTTACAGAGCGGATTGCGAACCCTCCAGACATCCTCGTGGCAAGGTTCTCCACGGGGCCACAATTGGATCGTCCTAGTTCCGCGGGAAAGGGGTTCTCTATAGAGGGCAAGGCGTGATCCTCTGGGTGGGAGACTGTCCTGCTGTGGCCACGTTCCAGAGGTTTCTGCTGCTGTCCAACTGGATGTCCGGATACGTTTCTATGGCTACTCACAAAAATAGGGCCATTTGGTGACTCCTGGCGGGGGATAATCCGACTTTCTCCGTGAGATGGGCGCACTCGCTCCAAGGAAAGCCCACTGGGCTGTGGTGAAAATCTCTTTACCTGGTATGGTCTTTCAGTTGCATGAAGCAACGCATAAGGCTCGTTGTTGTTAGCATGAAGTCTTTAAGAAGTCGTCCCGAGAGATGTATTTGTGGGATTCGGATTGTCAAGGGCAAACTCACTTGATGCTCCATTGCAGGGTTTGCGTATGCCCTCTTCGACGCAGTGCTGAATGTTTCCACATTAGTTGTCACCTGGGATGGAACAGAGAATGTGCGCCTATCCTCGAGAGGGAAGAAGAGTGAATCTGTGCCAGACTCGGCCGTCTCTTGCAAGGGCTGTCGAGCGACCAATGGTCTTCGAAGTTGGGGGGAGTTACCAGGCGGCCTGCGTGGATTAGCCCCTTCCGCTATGTTTCTATATCTGTTAATGGCACGGTCCCATGCTTGGTATCGGCTGAATCCACGACGGTCAAGCTTGTCATTCTTAGGAATCTCCGGGACAAAACGAAATCCAGGCGGTGCGTCCTCGTCCGATATATCCAGCTGGGTGTCTCGTAGGCTAGACCTAGCATAAGTGACTGGGTTTGTCTGTAGTTCTTCGGCACGCGGGTTGCTAGAGACAACCACCACACTTTGGTCACGGTCGAAGGGCTGTATTGGCTCTTCCTCGGTGTCACTGTCTTCGTCATCAGATATCACAATGACTTCGCGGAAAACATCCTCAAGAACGATCTTTCCATTCTCATCATCACCCCGCCATTCGACCAACTTGGCCAAGGTAGGCTCTTCAACCGTGCTTCTCGCCTCGTGGAACGATGTCGCTTTCAACAAACGATCGTATTCCGTGTAAACATGACGTATGTGGGCCACAACTGCGAGCTGGGAGCGGCGGGCTAGGGGTAATTCAACCGCTGTGCCTACTTTGCGCTGACCCTGGAAACAGTTTCAGTATCTTTTGTCCAACACTTTTTGCTTCCCTGTTATGAGGCTCCAAGGCTTGTTTGTGATTATTATCCACATACCTTCTGGAAAGCAGTTTTTACAATTTGATTCAGGTCATTGTCCGGGATATTAGGGAAGAGATCCTTGATTACATCCCTTGCTTCGGTGTTGATTGTCGTCTGAGAAGCTTCTGAATTAGTACGCTTGCGGGCTTTGGTAATGGCAGAAGTCTGAAACTGCATTGTTTTCCCCGCTGTTGTAAGGTGGAGTCCCAGGTCCATACAGACTGTTGCGACAACAGCGCTGGGAAAGTGATATCCTATCCGGTGAACATGCTGGGATAGGTTGTGTGTGTGCATATGCGGTGTTGTCTATGAACCAACATTAGAAAAACGGAGCCGGGCTGCAGGAAAAGAGCATGTTAAGTTAAGGAGATGGCTGTCGGGCATACCGAAACAGCGAACACCTTCAAACTGTCCTTCCGACAGACTTCCTTACACGCAGTCGTGAGCTGAGGGTTGCCTGCAGGAATGAAGGTATAACCAGGAGGAGCTTTTGCTTCGAAAGATATCTAAAGTGGTTGTGTCAAGAATGCCCCGTGAGATATGAGCAAGACGAAAGAACATACGACACTGCGAAGTTTCTTCTTCTCCTGCGTAACGGATTCCAGAATCACTTTATGCTTGCGTACCGTCTTCTTGACGTTTCTGCTTGGCGCATGTCTGGCGAAGACCGAGTTGGCTCTTCGCGTAACTCGGACCATGGTGTTAGAGGAGAGGTCTTCTCACGTGTCTACATAAGACAGTCCTTCATTTTATTGACCCGAGTTCAGTTTGTCCAGGTATACACTGCATTGGTAGATAGCCCAGCGCCGAGAAACGATGATTATCAGACGGAGGAAGTCCAAGATGTGATAGATTTCTGCTGTCCCAAGAAAGGGGAAGATATGGTGAGACCAGTTTAGTCAAATCACATATGTCTACACAACAAGGCGCGCACTGGTACTCCGCAGCATTAATCACGGGCCAGCTCGAAGAGAGGGGTCCGGTAGGCGCGAAACACTTTGTTCTTTCGGTTGACCCTCGCTGCTGGAAAAGAATGAGAAGCACTGTGAGAGAAAGAATAGACAGCTTGATCGAAGTCCGCTTGGGATCGTGGGCAGGTAGTATGCTGGAGCGAGGGAGCAAGCAAGCCTGGCGGAGCAAGCAGGCAAGGTGGGAGGGAGTGGAGGGTGGAAGGAAGCTAAAGAAGCCCGACCCAACTTAAACCACTTGCAGCCTAACGCGCGGTGCTGATAATGCCGGTCGTAACTGGCTAGCGTCAACTCCCGCCGCCGCCGCCGCCGCCGCCGCCTGCGGCTTGCAGCATTTGATAGTTATCAAGTGTGTATGTACAGTACTCCGTACATTGGCACAATTGACACAACTCGAGCAAGATGGTCTCTCCAATGCAATCCTTAAAGTCTCTGGAAGACTCACAAGTTGTTGTCAATGCCTACCGCCAGTTGTATCGACACGGGCTGAAAGCCGTGAATTATTCGACGCCAGCTCGATACGTCCTTCGGCACACCCTACGCTCCTCCTTCCGATCGTCACCCCCAGAGAGCCTGGACCAACAGCGAATCGCTAATACCATTAAATTCCTCCAAAGAGCAGCGGAAGTTGCAGGCTTGGAACACAGGATTGTGAAGAACATGATGATCATGAAATACTGGCAAAATCCCCACATCAGGCGAGACCTCCGATCGTGAGTTTGCATTTGGTTCGGTATGAGATTGGGATTGTTGGCTCTGACCCTATCTAGTATCAAAGGCTTAGGTGTCGAGCCCCGTGATCCTAAAGTCAAGGAGGACGCCTGGCAGCAATACAATTTGACTTTGAAGCTCCTGAACGAGAGCTTGGGAACCTGCCTCGTATAAATGGTCTACTTCGGAAGTACTCGTCTGGACCATTATCCATCAACCCCAAGGCAACAACACTACCACCAGAGGTTTCGGGCACTATCGTCCGTAGGTTTTCTGTGTGCCATCACTTATGGGTTAACCGGACTCATGTTTCCCGCCTTGTTACAAAGAGCGACAACCTCTCTTCGCAGGCCCTGTCCGTGAAAAATGCTCGCTCTACAGATACACTTGCAGCTAAAAGGCTAGGCTATCGCTGGACTCCAAGGTATGATCAGAAATGGCTTTCCCAAGCCGGTGGATGGCTGTGGCCATAAGGAGTCCTAACCCTATACGGGAGTAAGGTATGAGCACCAGCTACATACGTTTCGTGGTCATTTGGTGTCAAGGTGGAGAGAAAACGGTATTCACGAAGCTGATGGTTCATTTTGCCAACCTTCTTCTGGGTTGTCCCGCGTGGAAGTTTGTCATCAAATTTAACCACCACACATGCTGGCAAACATTACTGAGCAGATTACTTCGATGGCTCGAAGTACATCTCTGGATGCAGCAGCTCAAGTGTATGTACCGTCCAGACTCTATTGTTTGCTTGGCCCCTCAAACCGCCTGCGGTAGGGCATCATAGGTACAGCCGCTGTGCGGCCCCTGCCAGTTCAATACCAATAAACCAAATGATATAGGGGATATACAGTGCAAAATGTAACAACATCCCGAACGCACCGTATCTATATGCCATCATGTGATATAGCCCAGCCGTTGGAGGTTGGCCTGGTATTGGGAGCGATACAAATAGCATCACTGAGATCATTTGTTGTGGATTAAAAAATTGCGGAACGAGTCCCAGTGATCGGAATCCGCGTAACTAGAATAATGATTAGCGTCATACAAGGCAGGCGAGATAGCGAGAGCGAGAGCATACATGTACACCATGCTACTCCTCAGACTTGACATCAATGTATCTGGATGCCAACGGAAGATGTACATAACAAGCGCCCAGGACAAGCTGGCAAATACCGGCCAGGCATTGCTTTTCATCTGAGTTCGCGTTTGCGGAGTGATGAGAGAGGAGAGTGGGTGCATGTCTGGACGAATGGCAAGTTTGGCCAACGCAAGTACCACACGAGCAAAGATATAGATCACAATCTCGCAGAACTGTCAGTGGATGATCGAGTCCGGTATTTGATTGCCCGGCTGTTTACCTGTTGAGTGATACTGGTTTTATGCCGACCAAAGACGGCATAGCCTCCTAGCAACCCGGCAAAAAAGCTATCGTATCGTCCTTCTTTCCCGACAGCAACCGGGTTGATATTGCGCAGCAGGATCATCGAGCCCTTGTATATCAGCGCAAACGTGGCCAGGTTCCGAGCATGTTGGCGCGTGGCTTTAAGGACAAGCTTGACTTTCTCACGGAATCTGTGTCATGATCAGCATGATTGATCTATGTTCTAAAGGCTGGATTGCCATACGTTCCTGAGCGAAAAAGCAAAATCATCCTATGGATGTCGAGCACATCGAGTCAGCTTAGCTCTTTACAAGGGAGAGGCCCGGATATCTGGATTTCGAGGGAACATACACTAGAGCATGCGGAAAGCGGACCTTGGCCCCGTAGACAGCGCCATTGCGAATGCCCTTGAGCAGGGACAGAAGCGGCGCAAGCTCTGGATTAGTGACCAGAGCATCCAGAGAGGCCTACAAAGTGGTTAAACTGACATAAGTCCTGCGTGGGGTTGGGTTCGAAAGAGTGCGACCTTACTGTGAGGGCATCCATCGTGCTTGTTTCAAGAACCTCGGCAAAGTAAATGAAATTTAGTAAAGGATCAGACTTGCTTCCTTCGGCAAGATTCAACAGGGAAACTGCAAACCATGGAGGTTTCAAGGTATGCAAGCAACAAAGAAAGCTGCTCCAAACCTAGAAGACATCTAAAGTACCAGTTCGGGGTAAAGTGGGGGAGTACGGCATTTATGGGAGCTGTGATGATCCGCGAGGCCTGAGACGAGATCCTCGGCATGTGAGAGACGAGCCGAGCGTAACGTCATGGTCACGTGTACAGAATACAGCCCCTACCTGGACATTCGCACGAGAACAACTTGATAATTCAATCCAAGGAAGTAAGGCTGAGACCGATAGAACTTTTTCATTCGCAAACGTCTATGTAACAAATACGTATCGAACAGGTTCAAATATGAGCTAGGTGCTGGACCATGGCCAGAGTGAAAACCGAACCCCCAGAAACGCCTCGTGCGCAGTTTGGATAGATATAATAAGTCGGAAAGAATCAAATTGCATTACAATGCATTTCAATGCAAGCTTCATGCCGTCTTAGCTCTCTTGCGTCCTTCATCCTCCGAGATCTCATCCACGTCCATCATGTCCTGATCCTCATCGTCATCCGACTCCACACCTGCGCGACGCTTCAGTCCCTTCATTTTCCGAGTCTGCAAGCCGCTGAGGTCCTGCTTGCCCAGGTGGACACGACCGATCTTGTCACCAATTGAATCCATGCTGATGTTCTTCTTCATCTTGATCTCCTCGTTGGGCCTCTTGCCTTGCTTCATGGCCTCCTTCATCGCGTCCCGAGGAGCCTCCTGCAGACGTCCAACCTTGAAGTCAAACTTAGGCCCAATCTCCTCCAGCTCCACGCGCGGAAGCTTGTGGCCACTGCGCTTCGTCCGGAGCTTGTACCACCGCAAGTGAACAACAGGAGCCAACCCTTCAGTAGGTTCCTCGGCACCGATCATCAAGATATATTGGAGCCCCTCCACGTCAATCTTATCACTCGTCTCACCCTTGAACAGGTCCAAGAACATACTCTTCAGCATGACGTGGGCCATCGAGGTTGAGTCTTCCCAAGCACTGCCTGAGAAGAGGATCATGGGCCGTAATCCGATGCCGATATGCATGGCCAGATCAGTGTGTTGCTCAGCGTCGGGGTGCGGCAGTAGCATCAATTCGCACATGTCAAGGATCTTGGAATCGAATACACGTGCCATGGTGACACAGTTGGGTCGTTTCTTGTTGCTGCTACCGAACACCACAAGACCACATTCGTTCTTGTTGGCCAGAAATTCGAGACTTTCGACGCTCTCAAACGGGTGAATGTTCTCGTTCTTCTTGTGGAATAGGACTGAATCCGGTCTTGTCAAGGAATGGAAGGTCTTCAGAACAGTGTGTAAAGCTTGCGGACATTTTGAGCCGTGCAACAACAGCGTGCGCTTAGGAGGTTCGATGAGCTGAGGTTCTTTAGCCTTCAGGATGCGCGCTGTGCGCGCATTCTTCGGTTTTCTGAAGCGATAGAGATTTTCTTGTAAGCATGGTGACTTGAACACTAGAAAGCGTAGTCGAAGGGGTTGCATTCTATGGACTCACACTTCTCTGAGCATCTTGACCAATTCTGAGCACCAAAAATCCTGGTTTGACGTGATAAGGGGTCACTGATCGGGCTCGTGAAAACGAAAAGAAAAAGGCGGAGTGAAAAGTTTTGGCGGAAAGGGTCTTGGCGACGCTTATCGATAAGCTTAATGGCATCCACCCATCATTCGGGCTTCCCCATAATGTGATATTAATAAGACTTTACGTTGACTAAATACGAGCCTTGACCTACGAACAGTCATCGTTGGTCGCACTGAAGTCCGAGTAAAACATCACATTTGTCAATACAAAAATATCTAGTTTGAAGAGTTTCGGGCCGCGAGATCTACTCTAGCCGCAGCTTTTCAAACTCACGGATCTGTTCCTCTAGACGAGTCATTTCACTCTCAGCATCACGCATTTTCTTTTCTTCAGCCTCGCGCACTTCAGGCTTAGCCTTCTCCTGCCATCCCGCACCGCTGATGAGCTTCTGCTGGCGACGCACAGTCTCACGTGCCTTTTCGAGACTAGCCTTGGCCTTCTCTTCCTGCTCCAAGGCAACTTCCTTGGAAACACGGAGATAGACAGCAGCTTCAGAGCTCACGGGAGCGACCACACAGCCTGAAGGGGGATTGGTATTCTCCGGGCCGAGCACGCTAAGCTCACCCAGGGTCTTGCCACCCAGGGACTTGATGCTAGTAAGCTCATCCGAGACGGTCTTGTAGCTGGTGGCATCGTAGGTCTGGATGATAATGTCGCCCTTGGTCTTGATCTCATACTGGGCCAGGGTCGACCGGATAGACTTCGAGGCATTCAGGATCAGTTCATAGGCAGTCTCAGCCTCGGGATCCTCGAACTCAGGTCTATACTCGGGGTACTTGGCCTTCATGATCGAAATTGTGCTATCTTCGGGACGACGAGGCAGGCGCTGCCACAGGTGCTCAGTGACGAAGGGCATCATTGGGTGGATCAAAGTCAAAGCCCCCTCAAGAGCGGTGTAGAGCGTCTCCTTGGCCGACTGCTGCACTTCAGCCGGGACTTCGGGCGCAAGCAGGAACTTGGAGTTCTCAATGAAAACGTCACAAAGTTGGCCGTACCAGTATTGGTAAGCGAGGGATGCCGAAGCAGAGAATTCACGCTGCTCAAGAGCCTCATTCATCTCCTTAGCAGCAGCGTTAAACTTGTGCAAGATCCAGCGTTCCGCGAGGGACTCTTTGCCAGTCTTTGTAGGGGTCGGCCGGGGCTTAAAGTCATCGCCCAACTTGCCAAGCACAAACTTCGTGGCTTGGTAGATCTTGTTACAGAATCGACGATAACCATGGATGACCTGGATATCGAAGGCAATATCACCACCTGATATGGGACCGTCAGTATGTAAGACAATAGGCTAGAAAGGATGAAGTCGATTGTTGGGAGGTTTAACTTACCGCCAGTAGTGTAGGACACAAGGGCGAAACGCAGGGCATCAGCACCGCACTCAGGAATACCCTTGGGGAAAGCCTTCTTCTGGTACTTGGTAGCAGTGGCCACCTCCTTGTCGGCAAGGTTTCCGGTGAGCAATTTGGCATGAAGGTCATCCAGCTTGATACCTTCCATAACGTCGAGAGGATCAATGACATTGCCCAGAGACTTAGACATCTTGCGACCCTCAGAGTCTCTAATCAAGGAGTGGCAGTACACCTCCTTGAAAGGAACCTTGCCGGTCATCTTGAGACCCAGCATGATCATTCGAGCCACCCAGAAGAAGAGAATATCCCAACCGGTCTCCAGAACGGAGGTCGGGTACAAATGCTCCAAATCATGTGTCTGACGGGGCCAGCCCAGGGTAGAGAACGGCCATAATCCGGAGGAGAACCAAGTATCAAGAACATCGGGATCTCTCACCAAAGTGAAGCTCTTACCGGGGAATTTAGCCGCCGCCTTCTCCCGAGCCGCCTCTTCCGTGCGACCAGTGACCCAAAGGTTCTCATCACTATCATCACCTTCCTCGCCGTCAATCTTCACGAAGTAGGCGGGAGCCTGGTGACCCCACCAAAGCTGTCTGGACAGACACCAATCGTTGATGTTGTTCAACCAGCGGAAATAGCTCTTCTCAGCGGATTCCGGTCTGATGATGATCTCACCGCTTTCAACGGCCTTGATGGCAGGTTCGGCGAGATCCTTCATCTTCATCCACCACTGAGGCTTGAGGATAGGCTCGATGACATCGTTGGACTTGGCGCAACGAGGAATCTTCATGGGGTTGTGCTCCCACTTGACATAAAGTCCTTTCTCTTTGAGCATCTCGATGACCTTGTAGCGGGCGTCAAAGCGCTTCATTCCGGCAAAAGGACCACCCTTGCTGTTGAAGGTACCGTCATCGTTCAAGACAGAGATGAACTCGAGATTGTGTGCCTTTCCGCGGTTGAAATCGTTGAAATCGTGAGCGGGGGTGATCTTGACAGCTCCGGTACCGAATTCAGGATCGACATCCGTGTCGGCGACAATAGGCATCAAGCGATCCACGAAGGGGTGGCGGGCGAACTTGCCGATCAAGTGCTGGTAGCGCTTATCATCAGGGTGGACAGCGATACCGCTATCACCGATCATGGTCTCGGGACGAGTAGTGGCGATCTGAATCCGTTCGTCGAGGCCATCGATTTCGTAGCAGAAGTGGGTCAAAACACCAAACTCGACCTTCTTTTCGTAGCCGGGAACATCGAGAAGGGTACGGCCCTCGACCTCCTTGTTCTCAACCTCAAGGTTGGAGAGGGAGGTGTTCATGGCCACACACCAGTTGACCAGCCGGTTGGCACGGTAAATGATACCTTCTTCATGAAGACGGACAAAAGTTTCTGTGACAGCTGCGGATAGGTTGGGGTCCATTGTGAAGGCCTCACGAGTCCAGTCGAAGGAGCCTCCGACTCTCCGCAGCGCGTTCTTGATGTTGGCGTGGTACTGATCCTTCCAGGCCCAGACGCGCTCGACCATTGCCTCACGGCCGAGGTCATGACGGGTCTTCTTCTCCAGCTTCCAAAGCATCTTCTCAACCACGCTCTGGGTAGAGATACCCGCATGGTCCATACCTGGCAGCCACAGAGTGGTCTTGCCCTTCATACGCTGCCAGCGGATCATGGTATCCTGGAGTGCATTGGTAAGAGCGTGGCCCATGTGAAGAGCACCGGTCACATTAGGGGGAGGGATCGGAATGACGAAGTAGCCTTCCGGCTTGACCTTGCCATCAGGGCCGAATTCGGGCAAGAAGAGGCCACGCTCTTCCCACCATTCATAGCGGCCTTCCTCGATCACCTTGGGATCGTAGGCGTCTGTGGTCTTCTCCTTCTCGATCTTGGCCTTCTTCTCAGCCTTGGGCGCAGCAGGCTTAGCCGCGGCCTTAGCCTGTTTCTCTGCGAACTTCTTGGCTTTCTCGGCCTTACGGCGCTCGCGCTCCACTGCAACGATCCAGAGATTGAGTCAGCATAAATCGAGATAGGCGGGGGTGGTAATCGCCTATAGTGCGGAGACCATCATGCTGTACGTACATTCCTTCTCGCTCTTCACCTTGGGGGGTGCAGATGGGTCCTGTCCTTCGACAGGCTTGGAGGCAGCAGCGGCATCCTGGTTTCTCAACTGTTCGTCGGCCTGCGGAGGGACGTCGGCGACGGGAGCTTTAGGCTCACCAGCTAAATTACCGTTCAAATGGTCAGCCACATTTCAAACAGCAACCTTGAAGCTTGACACGGCGGGACAGAGACGGATAGCCGCAACATACTCGGGTTCTGGGGGGCAGAAGGTTGGGCCATTCTGGAAAAAGGTCGTGAAGACAAGAAGGGAGGAGGGATTCTCCGAGGCGCCACTCGCGCCACTAACTGACGGAATAGTATCTTGACCACCGAGTGACTCACGCAAACACGGCGATGAAGAGGAAGACAAGGAGGGGGAGGGGTTCGGGTCGTTGTGCGAATGCGGGCAATTAAATTTCCTGGCTCAGAGCAAAGGAACGGAACGAATCAGAGGATGCCGGAGCTGGCGGGGCTTTCAGTTGGAACCTCAGTGGATTCAATTTGGCGGGCGGTGGAGTCGAGATCGGGCAGTTCAATGCAATGCACTGTATGTATGAATATATATACTACTCAGTATGATGCTTCAAAATTGACTAGATAAAAAATCACTTGAGCATTAAAAAATTGAGTTTTCCTGTTTCACTCGCGGTAGGATGAGGGATAGATATATTAGTTTCTTGTGAAGTGAGTCACATCACGTGAAGGAAGGGAAGGCACTATGTACTAAGTATATCTTGGTAATCATCACAATAGCCTACCAGGTAGCCTGTCAACTACTTCCTACAGAGCCTCTGAAGTGAGGGACCCGCCCGGGCAGCCATGCTATCCAAAAAAAGGACTGCTACCTACATCAGCTGATCTGTGCAGACTCAATCTCTCCATGGGGGAAGCTTCAGACTCAAGACTCACCCTAACAATGCAGTACGAGGCAAGTAGACTGTTGACCTTTTCAAACGCATGAAACTGGATCACACTCCTCTCAATGATGTATCAGACTAGAATTGGCATACATATGGTAAACGAAGCTGAAGCATGGCAAAGGGATCACAATTGGAAAAGAGATATGCCAAGGCAAACCAACAAGCAGGGTTCCCATCAACACCAGTCCAACTAACCACAAGGACGATCGAGAAGGATGAAAAGACTGCAGTAAACCGGCGCAGGGGAATGTGGGAAAGGTTACGCGAGGATAACGTCAGGAGTGATGACCCTCCTCTAAACACCGTTCGACATATTTCAATCACTGGGTATGCCAAGAGGATCAAGCAGAGATATATTAGGTGTATGTCATCTGTTCATCGTCGTCGTCTCCAAATTCAATAACTCATTGCAACCGCAGCGCTTCAGTTCATGCACGCGTAACGCATCAGTCCAAAGCTGCACAACCCTTCCGTAATGATTCTTCTGAATTGATTCCACCAAACACAGAATGAAGTTTTGGCACTGGAGAGGTTGTCGCCCCATTGATGTAGGGTGTACCGGCAGAGCGAGTATCAGGTAGAAAGGGAGAAAGTCAGGGTAGATCTAAATCAGGCGCGTTCGACCTTCATGCTAAGAACTATGCTGTGTTGTTGTTCCGAGCAGCCTGGGACTCAGCAGCCCGAACGGGAGCAAAATACGGATGGGCCATCGCTTCTTGAGCAGTGAGGCGTTCCTAGAAAGATGATATTAGCTTTGCGCCACGCAAAATTTACGCAACAGAGTGCATACCGCATGATCGTATCGAAGCAGCTTGTCCAAAAAGTCAATCGCTTCGTCGCTGACGAAGCGCTGGTTCTCGGCGTTGACAAAGGTGTGCCAAGGCTTCCGAGGGAAGCGCGAGAGGAGATCATCGTACTGAGGATCCAATTCAATCTCATACTTGTCCAGGTATTCAAAGAGCTCTTCGGTTCCAAGAACCTTGGCGATCTTCACCAGCTGATCAGAGTTGCTGTTTCCATGAAAGAAGGGCTCCTTGCGGAAGATCATGGATGCAAACATCGCGCCGAGCGACCACATATCCAGAGAGTAGTCATATTCCTGGAAATCAACAAGTAGCTCGGGACCCTTGAAGTATCTGGAAGCAACGCGGACGTTATACTCCGTTCCCTTGTGGTAGAATTCAGCCAGACCCCAGTCGATGAGGCGAAGCTAGGCATGATCAGCAGAAGAATAGACATGAGGCATTCATGACCACCAACCTTGCGCTTTTCATGATCGATCATGACATTGTGAGGCTTCACATCCCGGTGCATGATACCCTTACTGTGGCAAAAATCCAGAGCCTTCAAGAGTTCGTAGACATAGAAGCGGACATCATAGTCGGAGAATCGGGGGTAAAGAGTCCGGAAGTCGGTATTATTGACATTCTCAAAGACCAGACTCGGTGTCTTACTCTGGCTGTCACGAACGACGTCTAATAGAGCTACCACATTGGGCCCACCTGCCAGATTCTGGAGAATCTTGATTTCACGCTTGATCTTCTTCTTCTTGACTGGCTTGAGGACTTTGATGACACACTTCTGGTAGTTGACAACATTGATACCTTCAAACACCTCAGAGTACTTGCCGCGTCCTGCGAGAAAATAAGTGTTAGTCCACATATCCCACGATTAACCCCGGTGGGATGACCCCGTCGACGGAGGTTGAATATTGGAGCGTGATTTCGCCCTTACCGATCTTGCGGACCACCTCGTAATTCTCCAAAACACCCCAGGAGATGTTCACACTGTCATAGTCCCAGTAGGACCGGGGCATATGCTCATTGACATCAGCATAAACGCGCGCCATGGTTGATGGCGACTTGGGCGATCAGCTTCGAGGTCAGCCCACAATCGGATAGGAGTGGTAAAATGCGGCGGGGTAGGGAGGGGACCGAGGGAAGAAGGATGATGGGTGAGTGGGTGAGGGCGCGGCGACAAAATAGGGATCGGAAGGACAGACAACAGCAGCCGCGAGACTAGGAGGCCAACAACCCGTCTAAATTGCGCAGCCGTGCTATCGTCCAGAGCAGCCAAAGCACAGGGTAGTATACTAGTAGTAATATTATGGATGGTTATTCAGAAAGGCCGAGAGCGTTTCGCTCCGCCTTCGGGGTCACGAGACTTGCCTTGTCCTATGGGTGACTCGGGCAGCTGCCGGGCTCGGCAGAATATTGATGCGGTATGATTTTCAGATGCCCATGCAAGGGCAGCTCGCAAAAGCACTGTATGGAACTTCAATCAGAAGTCGTTTCGTTCGGGGCAAAAGTGAGATATTGGCTCAAACGCAGGGAGTCACTCTGTCGCAATCATGTTCTATGATTTGAATGTGCCCTATAGCCCGGGTGATCCCGAAATTGTTCATACTTTGAACTTCCTTGCAGAACGTGCGTCATGTCCCCCCCCCCCCCCCCGAAAAAGCACGAGACCGGCGCAGCATACTGCGCATTTTCTAAGAGCCACATGAAGTGCTGACCTGACTTTCAGTCGGCTACACCACGGTTGCACTGTCAGAGACGATCAATGGGAAATTGCCTCCAAGCCTGAATGCCCCAGCTGCTCCAAAAGATGCTCCCCGGAACCTGCTGCTTCTTAGTCGCCTGAATCTGACCCTCTCCGACCCTGCGCAAAACCAACGACTTGCTAGCCTGACGCAAGCCTATGATCTAGTCGCTCTCCGCCCAACAAATGAGAAGTCTCTACTCAACGCGTGCACCAATCTGGAGTGTGATATTATCTCCTTGGATTTCTCCGTTCGCCTGCCGTTCCACTTTAAATTCAAAATGGTTTCCGCGGCTATCTCACGTGGGATTCGTTTCGAGATCTGTTACGGCCCGGGTGTTACGGGGAGTGGTCTTGAAGCTCGACGTAATCTAATTGGCAATGCTATGGGATTGATACGAGCAACACGTGGCCGAGGAATCATCGTTTCAAGTGAAGCGCGGAAGGCTCTAGGCGTGCGGGCTCCGTGGGATGTGATTAATCTTGCCTGCGTCTGGGGTTTGTCGCAGGAACGCGGAAAAGAGGCAGTCTGCGAAGAGGCTAGGAAAGTGACCGCCTTAGCCAAATTGAAACGAACAAGCTGGCGTGGAATCGTCGACATTGTTGATGGGGGAAGTATCTCAGCTGCCAAAGCCACAGGACCGTCGTCTAAGCAGAAGGAATCTGCGGAAGTCAGAGCCGATGGATTGAAAAGAAAGGCATCGCTTGGCTCTGAGGCAGCAACCGAGGAGACTGAAAAGCCACTCTCAAAACGTGAGATGAAGCGCAGGGCTAAGAAAGCTCGGCTAGGGGCGTTCGGTGGCGATAGCAGTGCTAACGGTACACCGGCTACTTGAGCGGAGAACGTGCCAACTTTTCTCTTCTTGTTCCGAAATGCCTGTCGCGAGGGGATTGACAGACGTTTGTCGAGAGCCCTGCCGTGTCGGAACCTAGAGCCGAGCCGCACGGCCTTCGCTCCGGGATATCATCGCGTTAGGGGTAATACCTTTTGTCACAGGGATTTCCCAAGACCAGACCGCACACTAGCCAAGTGCAGCGATCTCCTTCGAGTCTCTAAGGACTTGTCTTGGTGGCCGCAAAACCTACGCTGAGATAAGCGGTGTGCGGGTGACCGAGGCCTGCCGCCTCCATTCCCCTCTGCCAAGTATAAATACCCTTGGTGACGGTGCAGTGAGTCGATCCGTTCACGGGGACAGTGATCAACTTCCTTAGTCATGACTGCAATTATTGAGGCAATGAGACCAATGATGGCCATTGAATGGCAGCGTGGACTTTGATACCGCGTGCAAGAAGCGCACTCTTCAGATCTATATCATATGAATCTAGACTTACGCAAAGACCTTAAGATGAACATATAAGATCAATCCAAGCCCAATGGACCGCGTGCCTATCCATTACCGTAGAGAGTGCCATTTATGCACGAAATACCCAAAGCTGTGACCCCAGCTCAACCCTTGACATATACCTCCTTCCGATATGCCACCGTAAACCCGGCCCTTTCTGCATTTCTGGCACTTCCACTGCCTTCCCGTGTACTCAGCGTCACCAGCTTCAACCCCATGCCTTTGGCAGCCCTCAAACGCGCCTGGATGAGCGCCACATGTGCGCCCCTCCCGCGAGACATCGGCACCGTACTATCCAAGTACAAATGCCCGAAGCTCTCCTCTACAGTATGCGTACCCAGGACCGCCAATGCCGCGGTGCCGACCACTTCCCCGGCGTCTGTCGTCGCGACGTAGAGTCTCGTATCGGCTCTCCGGGCCGCAATCCTCGCCAAGGCGCCCAACAGCTCCTCGGGGCGTCCCCCATCGGCGAATCCCGCAATGGAAGCGGCGACGAAGTGCTCGCGATCGACATCCGAAGCCACCTCTCTAACCGTGGTATCCTTCCCCTGGTGGCCCTTCTGCGTGATGACCGGTCCATCTGAGTCCTCCAGGTCCATGCAATACACGCTCAGCCTCCCCTTGGAGAAATACCCGGCACGAGTGAGAACCTGCCCTGCGGACGGGTCTGCGTACTCGCACAGATGGATTTCCGGATGCAGACCGATTGCGGCGTAGGTTGACTCGAGATTGCAGAGATCCTGTGATGTGAAGGAGCCGTGGAGCCCGAGCCCAACGATGCGGCTTAGCTTGCCTTCGAATTGGGGGAGAGTACGGATGGCGACGCCTCCGGCTACACGCTGGTGCTGAATGAGGACCTCGCAGGATGGGTACAGGGCTTGGAGCGCCTCAGCTTGGCGAACGACGTGTGTCTCCTCCGTCTGCTCGATTCGAACGACAAGGCTGGGCGGTGGTGGGGTGGCGAGTGTCATATTGGAGCTGCGGTCCCAAGCCATGCATAGATCGTGCTGTGCCGTGGCAGAATCCAGCTGGGAGAGTCAAATAAGCCGTCTGATCGACTGTATTCATGATTCAGAGAAAGAACATGCACTACAACGGAGCAATGGACTTACAAAGGTCTCAGACCACCCATGACTCACACTCACCTTCAATTCAGTTTCTTATACGAAGATCACTCCATTAATGTAATCACGACTACAAGCGCCCCCCCACCCTACCAATCACGTCCATCGTAGTCAGCACAACTTAGCAACAATATAACGTGTCTACTAGTACTTATATACAGCCACATGTTCCCTTCCAGGGTGGAAGCATCAAACGCTAGCTAAGCCCACCAACCTCAAACCTCCCCCATCTATCAATCACCCCGCGACATCCCTCCAATAACCCGCATCGCAACCCCCTCCTTCCCCTCGGGCACGAAGACATGATCATGATAGAACCCACTGACCACATTGGCACTGACCCCGGCATCCCGGAGTCGTGCGCTGATGGCAGCGATCAGCCCCACTGCCTCGAGACTCGAGTGCACGCTGAGGGAGATCATGCGGCTCGGAAACACGTAGTCGGTGAAGCCGTGCGCGATGGCCTTTTCGCGTGTGAGGACGAGTGTGGTACCCTCCGCTTCCTGGAAGAGAAGTTGTGGCTGTAGTGCTTGCACATCTTGGCTCGCTGCAGAGACTGGTATTTTAGGAAGAGTGAGGAAGACGAAAGTATCAGGATAGAGGATGGGCTCGAGTTTGGAAAGAAGAATTTGGAGATCTGTTTCACCGGGAGCCATTGTGGTGGTGGTGGTGGTGGTGGTGGTGGTCGTGGCGTTCAGTAAGACTGATTGATGTGCTGTCGTAGTGGCTCTGGTTTGTGACTTGGCAGTCGGAGCTAGCAGCACTTGCTGGTTTGATACCTGGTGTTGTTTATATGTCCGGGTTGTGTTGTTGATTCTGTACACCAGGGAGTAGATTAGTCGCTAGCAATGGGTGAGTAAGCAGGAGGAACCTCGAGCTCTCACTAATTTCACATTTCAAAGCTTAATCTATGAGAAACACCTGAGAAGCCTAATCATCTACAGGTAGAAGAACTGCTAGACTTAAATGTCATCAGTATTATGATTATCAAGAGCACTGCGAGTATACACTATTTACCCACTGGTATCTATAGAGAAAACCATCGTGTCTCATGTCCGTAATAGCAGCAGGATAAGAGGGTATGAATGCGAGACCATGAAAAGGAAATCCGCCCAGCCTCACCAGCAGAAAATGTTCCTTGCAGAAAATTGATGCGCGTCAAGTCATAACAGGTCGTTAGACAGCAAGCATACCTGCTATCAAGATGATTCCTCAAATTCAACCAAGACTCTCAGGTCCCCGTCCATCCAATCCACATTTCCCGCGGACAGGAGTGCAATGGTCCAGTCGCCGTCATTGTGTACTGTTGTTACTCCATCCGGTAGCCATACCTTGAACTTCCAGTTGACCCCTGCGACCCAGCCGCTAGCGGAGTCCAAGCCTGACTCAGATGAAAATCCCGGCAGCTGACCCGAAAACCGGCGGGAGATCACTTGCTTGAGCGTCTCGAGGTCAGGGCACTGGCTGCCAGGCACATCAAGTCGGGAATGTGTGCGTTTGCCGTCCTGGATAAGGTTGATACGAAGAGAGACAGACATGGGCGACGAAGGAGGCCTAACATTGCTGGTGGCAGAGGCAGCTCCGGGCATCGGTGGTAAATTGGCAGGCGGGAAGTGCTGAGGTTGTGACACAGACGCCTGATCGTGGGATGCAGCATGGGGTTCGTGCTTCACAGCAAGATTGTCACGGATGATGCGCGAGACGTCGCGAGTAATGCTACTTGCACTGTGAAAGTCTATTAGCATGGTACGATAATGGAAGAAGTGGGAAGTGTCGGGCGACGTACAATTCGTTCCTCGCGGGCTGTGGAATGTTACCGCCGATCCGCCACCGCAAGTCAGAAGTAGCACTAGCCTCTAATATACGTTGTATATTGCCATCTTCACACTGTGGAGGACACTCATAGCCACCATTGTGAATGACCTGGTAATGGCTATCGACTGCAGCCACCAAGCCCCGCCAGTCCGGCTGCTGTAGGCCTGATAGGTACCAGAGATTGTCAAGTTCGCAGTTCTGATTGTACGAGTCATAGGACTTAGCGAATGCGTTCCAGTCGGTGGTGTATCCGTCCAACAGAAGCTCTGTTAATCCCAGATCCACGGCCTGCGAGGTGGACCCCATGGGTGGCTGTGACGCTGACATCGGGGTCTGCATTGCAGTGTAATCATCGTGGATCTGATGGTGATGATGCTGGGTATGCAGTTGTAGATGGTCCTCAGTTGGCGTGTGCGCATTGAAATTTTGCAGGCTGTCCTCGGTCTTCCGTCGCCGTCGCTCCTCCGCTCCGCCGCCTTTCCTCGTCTCGACAGCATACTGACGCTGTCGCTCGTTCGTCACCATTCGCCGCAACAAGGGTATCACCAATGAGATGATTTTCTGTTGATCCCGGGGCCAGATGTATGCCCTGGGCCCCATGCCTTCATTGACCACATCTTCTCCAAAGAACCGCTCGCCATGACCCTCACCCTCGAGAAAATGACGTACGCAATTCCAAAGCCGCAGCTTGACCATCTCTGTATCCCCCTTGCCGCGTTGACCAACACAGTCACGGCGCTCAGGATGACGATCATCAAGCATGTATGCTTTAGCTGCTGCTTGAAGATGCAAGAAGTTTTCTGGAGAAAGCTCGAGGGAGGAGAACAATTTTGACATGGGTGGACGAGTGTATTTCTTGTTACTGGAGGGCTGGCGAAAGAGGGCGGCTGCCGAGTGCAAGCCCACCGCCCGAGCTTCAGATAGTGATTGTTGCGGGGCGCCTCGAAGATCCAGCCCATCACCGCCGTAATGATGCGGATGCTGCTGCGGATGCTGCTGCGGATGTTGTTGTGGGTGGTGACTATGGTGGTGAGATTGCTGGTCCCCTGCTAGGCCGACATGGCCTCCTCCTGTCAATGCGGGATCGAGAGCATCTTCGTTTCTCTTCCTCTTCTTTGTGCCAACTCGGGTCAACCCAGAGGTTTGAGCGTGTTCATTCACCGGGGCTGATCCGGGTCCTCGCAGAGCCCGCCCGCCGTTGATTCCAGCGGTAAAGCTTGTGTCTGCAAAGCTGTCATCATCCATATGTATGTCCGGTCCATAGCCCTCTAGGTGATGTGTATTCCCAGCCGCCCCAGCCGCAGCGGCGACTGCAGCGGCCGCAGCCCATTCCGAGACGTCTTGTCCTGCAGCCGCTGTGGCAGCCTCCACCAGCCCAGCTAGTTGATTTTCGCTAGGTGCATACCCACTCGTTCCAAGGTGCGCATTAGGTTCGACATTCGAAGTCGTGGTTGAGGTAGCTGGAAATTCGGCCGCCGAAGTTGACGGCTGATGGTGGCTTGGGGTGGATGCCGAAGTCATGATGGCATATAGCGAGCGTGATTATATTTGCCGCTATGGGCTCACAGAGCTTGTCCGACAAGATTGTACTGTTTGAGTTCCTTGGCCAAGACTTATCAAGCGACTGTTGTAGCGTTCCGTAGGCGAAAGCGAAAGGCGCGCGCCGGTGAATTGACGGATCCGAGAAAGAGACGATGATGCATACACAGCCTAGTAGTTTATTGTCGCAATTTGCCTCGAAGAAAGCAGACCGCAATATAGTTGAATGGTAAGATAATGGGAGCAAAACCATAAGGATCTAGTATCAATCCAACCGGAGCGTGGACACGCGCAGTGTCCTGGGTATTATGTTAGGCGGATTTGAATTTGGAGGGACCCTTGCGGGCAAGCTTAGCCCTGAGGGAGGGTACGACAGCCTAATAGCGCGCTGATACCCACAGGCCCGTCAACTGAATGGGAAGCTCAGCTCCCACTGGACTTCAAGCGTGCGCAACTCGCGATGATCGATGAAGCTATCCGGAAGGATGACGCTGTTTGGCTGGTTTGAAGGAAGGACAGACAGTGCAAACTCTGCAGGGAACGACGGACAGAGGCCGTCGCGACTGCCGCACCGCGTTAGCGTGGAAGGTGGAGCATCGGAGATCACATGACTCTAGTATACCGTCACTACGTAGTAACCATATGTATGACACTCACCCGTCCATTTGTCGTCGCATGCTCGCTCAGTCTCAGGAGAAGTTCATTTTATTTGCTGAAAATCTTCTTCTGCGGATCTGGCAATCTGGAGCCAGCCCAAGTGCACAGATCAATTGACGCAGATGATACAAGTATTGGAACCGCACGCTTGCCATAACTATCTAAACATGATTCGCCAGTATCCCAGAACCGTATCAGCCAAAAAAATATCAAGATAAATGAAGAGCAGATTATCGTATCCATGTCAGCACATAATGAACCGCGCACAAGGAGGATGCAGGTGATGACCGAGCATCAACGTGCCGAGTCTCCGTCAAATTAGAAACCATCTCCTTCTTTCCACATTCTCCCGACCTCCGCAGCTCGGGCTCTAGGATCCTGGCCTCGGTCGGTGGCATTGACGAATAGCTCGAGGATCAGTGTTTCTTCGAGCTCAAGCTGTTCTTCCAGAGTGATATCCTTTCCAGGCTCGGGAAAGTCTAACTGGCTTTCTTCGCCCAGGTGTCCATGCATCCGAGTGAGCTCAATCAAGTCTGCCCTTACAGACCACCCCTGAAGTGCCTCCTCTAATTCGGATTTAGCCGTATTATGGTCGCGAAAATCATTATACTCGTCTTCACCACCGAAGCAGATCCCAAATCCATCGCAGTAGCAGATATGTTCCTTGACACAAACAACATTCTCGCCGGTGAAAACGACCTGCCACAGATATTCCCAGATGCGACCGGAAATGTAGTCACTGAGTTCAGTCCGGAGCATCCAGTCGCGGAAATACACGAATCGAGCTCGGGGGATAGCTAGGATGCGCTCGCGCGAGACGGCGAATTGAGCACAGCAGGGCTGGGATAAGACTTCAGGGATCGGGTCATCGGGGAAGATCTCCCCCCAGGCTCGAGCAAGCATGACCTCCTCCTGTTTGGTTTGATCTTCAACTAAGGTGCCAGGGTGCAACCAATCCGGACAACCGGGGCTCCAAGTGCAGCGCAGATTCACATAACCTTGCCTGATAACCCAGGCCGGGTTCAGACGCCGCAGCAACTCGGACGCATCGCCGTTGAAGAGGTCATCGTTGTGCCATGCGAATTGATGCGAATGCATGAACGCAATGATGTCTGGGAGTTTGTCGTAGTGCTCGATGATGTAGCTTAGGTAGACCATCACCTCATGTCCTTTGTTTTTGGGTGGATGCAAAGGTGCCGACGGATCATTTACGGCGTAAACGGCCGACTGCCAGTCTGGCAATTCAAATTCGATCCAGGTGGTGTCCTCCCCCTCTGCCTGAGGCACAACTAGTATCTTGCTGTACGTCGCGCCAGGTGCTTTAGGGACACCAGGAGCAAAGCGTGGTTTGGCTGCGTATGGCGTCCGTGTGGGAGATTCTTCAGAGACCCGGGTGAGATTATAACGCAAGGATGGTGTGGGCGAGGGTGTTGCGACCGGCCTGTTCAAGCCCACGGGTTGCGGGATTGGCTCCCATTGTGCGGAGAGGGTGTAGAAGGCGAACAGGGCTGAGAGGATGAAGGCGAAGCCGAGAAGGGGCACCAGGCGGCGTGAGGAGATCATCGATCACGGAATGGGAGCGGGTAGTGAAAGGGAGAAAACACTAGGGCAATGCGATACTGGGAGGCTTGTCAGTAAGTATGATCGGAAGAGACAGAAGGCGTGGCGGACGGATATGTTTTAAGCTTTTGGTGCCTGAGTTGGTTCCAGACCATGCAGACAGGCACCGGGGCCCGCACTCTTTACTCACAAGAAGGGCCGGAAGGCTACACGATAAA